CTGATGAGGACACACCTAGGTTTCAGGACACACCTGTAGATACCCTGTGGGGGTGAGTTTTGGAGGCAACCTATTGATGCTTCTCTGTCACATCTCTCTCTGTCATCAGTGAAGGCATATCCTCAGGTGAGGATTAAAAATGTATATATTTTTTTAAAATTTGTTCTATAGGAATGTGCAGTTACTCAAAGAGAATAACTAGGGCTCCACAGAAAGGGCATCATGAATCCTTCACCTGCCACTACCCCATACATCCACTCTGGTAACCATGAAATTACGAGTCAGATACATTTTCAGTGATATTCCTTTCATACCCTTCCACCAATTTCCAACCTAGTTCACAAAATAATCTCTTTATTTAATTTTAGTGCTAGAATGTTGGAAATCTGCCCCAGGTTTTACAGCATTAATGTGATTTCAGTTTGCATTGTAGTCTGAGGTTCTCTCTGAAGAGATACTAGCTAGCTTCATCATTTACAAACCTATGAACTATCACAAGCTGAGTATTTTTAAACACTTATCTGGTTGAGAGGCAGAGTTGGGGTGAGATTCAAATCCAAGTTTTACCATTGACTGGCCAACCATGCCAGTTTGATCCTTCGTTACTGAGTCTATCACACTGAGATTACTCAGAGTGGTTGTGAAGATCAATAAGATAATGTATGTAAATCACCAAGCACAAATGGTGATCTTTAATAAATGTTACTTTTAATTCTCTTGTTTTAAAAACTAAAAATGACATGAAGGTGGGGATAGAAAGTGAAAAAAATGTCCCTTCAAAAACGCTGCTTACATTCATATTCGATACAAATTAGAGCAGGATACATTCTCTTACACCAGGCTCATTTATGTCATTTTTCACAGCTTGAATGTAACCTACTGAGATTAAGATTAAGATATTTGTAAAAGTGGGGGGAAAAACAACTGCATTTCATCAAGACAGTTTTGCTTACATATTCATATAAATACCTTATTTATCCTACTAATTCTTAATTAATCGAGAGCAACAGTTTCTAGATTAAGTAGGTTGTTTACATCTGAATGCTGGAAGATAGAGGATTCATTTGCTCAGTCAAAGATGTAGGGCTTTGTGAGTGACAGAAGATAAGACACTGGGGAAAAAAATGTTTAAGGCTCATTTGGGAACCAAGACATTTGCATTTCATAGAAGGATTTAGACTCCATTGGAACATAAGGTTCTAGGAACAATTACAAGCAATTGCTTTCTTGGTCCATTGCCTAACCCTGTACTTATCACCCTCTGAGCAGCAGTTTAGGAGCTGGCCCAGGTCACCTGGATGCCTTATACCTTAGTGGATTAGCCAAGTAACACAAACAAAAAGGCAGGTTGATATATCAACTTCTTTTTATCTTAAGAGTATTCTTCTAAAAAATAGATTTCACACAGAAACACAAACTATCTTACCTGAGGAACTTGATGACCAAGGCACAACTAAGATTTTGTCTTATCTTTAGCATTTTTATCTCCTTGGCTACAAGTATAAACTAGTTGCTAGCAATAGTATTGTCATGGCTTCCTTCCCTCCCTCCCTCCCTCCTCCCTCCCTCCCTCCCTCCCTCCCTCTCTCCCTCCCTCCCTCCCTCCCTCCCTCCCTCCCTCCCTCCCTCCCTCCCTCCCTTCCTTCCTTCCTTCCTTCCTTCCTTCCTTCCTTCCTTCCTTCCTTCCTTCCTTCCTTCCTTCCTTTCTCAACTGAGGATATGTTTTTAATTAACGAGAGAAAGAGAAACAGAGAGAGACAGACAGACAGACATAGATGAATGTCAATGTGAGATAGAAACATCAGTGGGTTGCCTCTCATATGCACCCTGATTGGGGATTGAAACTGTAACCTAGTTATGTGCCCTGACCAAGAATTGACCCTGCAACCTTTTAGTGTATGGGATGCTGCTGCAACTAACCGAGCCACCTGGCCAGGGTGGGACATCTTATTTTTCATATCCAGCTAGAGTTAGGCTTTGTATTGTTTTTAGTGGGCCTTCCTGTATTTTTTTCATGCAGTCACTCAGCAAACACTCTATACCTACTATGTGACACAAATGCAGAGACAAACCTAGAACAATAAGAAAGGACACATGAGAAAGTCATTGATAATTCAGTTTCTGTTTATCAGTTGTTATAATAAAGATATGTCCAGATTGCGGTGCTAGGGCTACAAAATGATACAAAAATGAAAAAATATTTGTCTATAAGAACCTACAAAGAATATGATACAGTAAAAATGAGGAAATCTAAGATATTATACCACAATTGTTTATTTGCCTGACCTCTGTGCCTGACCTTTGCCTGACCAAGGTAAGCTCTTAGAGTCCAAGAACCCTGACTTGTCACACTAACTCACGTTCAGTACCTTTGCAGAGGTGATCCATAGAAATACAGCAAAATTCACTTTTTGAATATCTGTCTCCTCCCCAAAACTTGCACACAATATTTAACACTACTGTTTCCTAGCACTTCCTTATCTTCCACAGTAATTGATTATACAATTATAGAAATGTTGGAACATTTAAAGATCACTCTAAGTAACTCCTTCAGCAACTTATAGTTAAGGAAACTGAGGTCTAAGAAGGATAAATGATTTAACAAAGTTATATAAAAACTAGTAGAACCAGGGAAGACTCAGTTTACTATCATTCATATTTTTTAGTTAAATTGACAGAAGTAATCAGACACTTAGCACAGATGCCACATATCTAAATATGAGAGGACGTGGCTTTCAGAACATCACTTCCCGAAGCTCCCCCAAGACCACTTTTTGTGGCCTTGGTCAAAGTCGATGGCAGCTATAGGTACAGTAAGTAATTTCTGTAGTACTTTTTCACTTGAGAGATATTCTATGATAGCAAAACATTTTCTTTGAAGTTCTTATTCTTTTTAACAAGCAGCAACTTTTAAATGGGCAAGTTTTTCATTTGTTTCCACACACACACACATACAAAAAAAAAAACAGACCTAAATTTCACTGAGGATATAATTTTTTAAAAGCATTATTCAATGTTGACTATAAAAATGTTATTGTACAAAATGTCATTATATAACCTGATATCATGGGTACCTAGTCCAGCATTTCCTCCGCTGGTGTCCACATGCATTGAGAGGGTGTGGGAGAGGTTAAGGAAGACAGAATACGAGGGGGGAAATGGCCATGACAACAGATACTATTACATGCCTAACTTTGTTGAGAAAATTCTGGATTACTGCAATAAATAGTTACTGAACACCAATAAGTAACGATGTTAGAGCAAAAGAGGTTTATGCCAGCATTTCTTAGCACCTCTAATACACTAGTGTTTCCTATGACTATGATGAATACATGTCCAAGTTTTAGCAGGACAGCCCCAGCCTGCAATGGCTGATTCAGCATTAACTGCCTCCCCTTCCACTCCTGTCATCCTACTCGTGACTCTGTATGTTTGGGGGAGGATAAATATAGTGCACAAAATTTCCTAAACTAATATGACCAACGCAATACTGGTATTTACATTTCTACAACAATTTCCTAAAACTGTGGTCCACAGGACCTGGCTCAGAAAATGCTTATCTATTGTATTCTCTTCACTTGATAGCGGATGGAAACTAAGGACAAGGGAATTAAAGAGATTCCACTAGAAAATTGCAGAAAGGATGAGAGCCAAGGACTCCTGGCTTCTATCTCTGATGCATTTTCTGACATATCACACTGCTGTATTACTAGTAAAACATTCTTAACATGATATTAACATTCTTAGCATGAAGTTCTAGTCACATTAAAACATTCTTAACATGAAATTAAAAAGTCCTATTATTAGATTGCCAACATTATATTTTATCCTAATACAAAAATAAGTCACCCAACTTTTACAAGTTAATTTCAATTTAAATGAAGCTCAAGTCAATTTTTCTCTTTTTAAATCATAGCTGTAGAATTAACAAGAGACAGAGTCAATGAGAAAACACTACCTTGGAGTCAACTGCAGGCTTGTAAGACAAGTCCATCTTCCTCTGCTTTCCCTCCATTCACTCTTATGAAGGAGAGGTAACTGAGTTCTTCCTATCATCCGAGTCGCTGGCCTCACAAGTGTGTGTTTGGGGGTTGTGGAAGGAGCTAATTTTATCAACCAACAGACTTTCCAGTGCCCACTACAAAGAGTTCTGCTGTAATATTTTACTTTCATTTTGGTTCCAAGTGGCCTTTAAAATATGGATACTACTACTTTCTTGGGTCATTTGATACCAATGAAAACTTTAAATAAATTAGTTTACAATATAATCCATGAGTCTCTACATGTTTGCTAACAGAGGCTATTTTCTGATTCAGTTTCTAACAAAGACATGGCTCTAGGAGAAAATCAGACAAAGAATTATATCTTTAAGATTGTGGGTCGCACATGGGCTCTGCTTCCTAGGTAACTGTTCTGCATTTTAGGCAACTTAGAAACTTCTTTTAGAGAAGAGAGTGATTATAAAATCTTTAAAAAGAAAGTGATTTCTTGAGAGTTAAGAAATATAAATAGACTTTTGGAAGGAGAAAAAGTAGAAAATGCTGGTTAAAACTCCTGGGAAATTCATTTCTACACAGGATATCTTTTTGCTCATTAGTAAGAAAAGGGAGTTAATATTAATTAAATCTTGCTCAGATAAGATAACCAGTTAAGTACATGAAAATTACAAGGTGATTAAGGTAAAATATTTTTAGAGCGAATCCAGTCTTGGTGTTTCAGATAGTGACTGAGATGACATGTGACTGTCCTCCTCTCAGTCACATTGGGCTTTGTGATTGTGTTGCAGAGCTCTGACTTCTGGAACACAGCGCTCTTTTCTGTGATTAAAAAAAGGCTTGCCTATGAGAATGTACCATTTGAAGAAATGGACATATTCGAGTCTAACTACTGCACTCAATGAGAGCCACCTGTGTAAAAAAGAAAGGAATACAGATATTGATCACATCAAACGCTTTCATTGAAGTTGACATGGACACTCATACAGTTCATCTTGGATGATCTCAGAAGCTTTCCTGTGTATGAGAAATAGAACCACAGGCCTTTTTGTATAAGTTCCTGTATATCTTGTCCATGCTGTTCTCAAAGATGGGTCGGTGGGACTTTCCTTTGTAAGAGGCTGCCCTGTTGGACCAGTATTCACCATCATCCATTTGGAGAGTGCCACGTGGCCGCTGACATGAGCTATAAAAAAAAAATACATGGGATTACAATAGTGAGACTAGACCAAAGGCACAACTGTCTAAATAAAATGTTGATGAATTACTTCACAGGTGTGTATACTCTGGGCTAGAAAATTGAAGACAATAAGGCCTGTGCCTTTAAAGAGTGACACTGTTTGCTTGAAAACAAATTACTGAACACTAAAATGAAAATAGTATCTGAGAGACAGAGTTTGAAAGGAATTCAGGGAAGAGAGGTAAGTGAGGTGTGGTGAAGCAGAGCGCAGAGGGTGCACAAGGGCCAGTTACGAGAGTCAGACAGACCTGTCACTGACTCACATTTAATCCATTAGAGGCTGGGGACCTTGGACCACTTATTTAATCATCCAGAGTCTCATCTTCCTTGACACTATTTTTGCAGTTACTGCTTTAAAAATTCAAGAGAGCGTATGTAAGGTGCATAGCGTAGTTTTTAACTGAGAAACAGAAGTTATTAATTATGAGGCATGGGACTACTAAGTATTTTATATGTATTTACATATTAACTGACATCCTCTGAAGTTAGTAACTAGAAACTGAGACTCAGTGAAATGCAGTGACTTCCTATGACCACTCAGTTAGCAGGTGGTGGAATGGAAGGGGTGGTATGTCAGTGGCTCTGAGACCTTTTTACTGTGCCAGGCTGCTGCTGTCCTCAGTGGGGAGCAGAAAATTAGACTCAACATGAACCACTTTTGGAAACAGAAGAGGGAGTATTTGAAGTGATAGGACTTACTGTCAATTTAAAAGTTTTGAAGGAAAAAAAATAACAGATAGAAAGCTATAAAATAGTTGTAGGGAAAAGGCAAGTTTTTCTGAAGGCTCAAAAGTATTTTTTTAAAAAACATACCTAAGTCATAATTTTAATAACAGAAAAATTAAGTTCTGGGATCACCACAGTATCTGCTAGAAATAAAATGCTGGCTTTTTCAAAGACTAAGTTTTTTGGCACTGACCTACTTCAATAAATTAAGTACTTGTTATAGGTAAGACCTCTTAGGCATGCTAGAGATCATGAAGTTTGTACCATATAAAACTATATGTCCTGACTATTAAATTCTATAAATATTTTCTTCATATATGTATCTACAATCACATTTCACACAAACAATTTCTTCCCTAACTTATCAGTTCCATGATGTTACCTCCATTGTCAACTGTGAAATAGGAACTCTTGGAGTTGTCTAAAGATGTATTTTCTATTTTGCCTGAAGTCAATCGTCCCACCTGAACACTGTATAAATGACCATGAAAAGGGGCATGAAGTGGCTGTATTACCATTTCAGAGCTTGGTAGTGTCAGTGATGATGCAGTGAAAACATGTACACACTCTCTTTGGAAAACAGTTTGGCATGATCCAGTAAGCTTAAATATGCAACTTCAACCCAGTAATTCAACTGCTAGATTCCCCAGCCAAATTCTTGCACAAGTGGACCATGTACGAAATGTTCATAATAGCATTCTTTATCTTTATTCTTAGTTATGCAGGACATTTTAAGTCTATGTATTAGATTTTTTTCTTCCATTTGTTAATACTGAAGGTAGCTTTTTGACTATTTGTCACATCTTATTAATCAGATAGTGACCAATGGAGAAAAAATAAAAACTATACTCAACCCTGTGATACCTAAAAATATATTTGTAAAATTTAAATTACTCAGATTGAGATTCTGTTATAAATAATTTCATACTTAAAGCATTTATATTGAGCATATTCCTACTGTTAGTAAATGGAAAAAGATGCATAGGAAACAGAAAACAGTTTATATCAATAGCTAATTCCTTAAAAGAACAACATAGCTAAAATTTTAATTGACAGGTATAAAAGGCCAAATTATATTCTAAACATGAAGTTCAAATTGCTTTTATCCTTCTCTCTTTTTATGGCCAACTCCCATCTATTTGAAGCATCACCTTATGTCTGGTCTTTAATTAGGACTATGCTCAAACAGGATGCTGCTGCCAGAAGCTCTGAAGAGAACTGAGACAGACATAGGAGGTGCTAAAAGGAGGAAAGAGATCCAAGGGCCATGGAAATTGGCAAGGCTACCACAGCTATCTAAAATTTTGTAAAAGAGATATGAAATTGAGAAGGAAGTCTACATGGGGAGTAGATTTTCCCCCATACTAACCCCCAAATCCCATAATATTGGAAGTAAAAGATTTCTTCCTAATTAATTTCATACTCAAAGGTGATGGAAGACATACAGCTAAGCATGGATATATAATAAAGCCTAAAATAAACCCTGGATATGTGGATTTGCAGAGAAGCCAAATAAACTAAAACTTTAAGTAGGATGAGAGCATCACCATTCATTGACTGTATTTGTTTTCATTGAAAAGTTTCTTTAATGCAAACATTAAAATATTTCAATGGAATTTTTCATAATTAAATATTTTAAATATATAAAAATAATTAATTAATAATTGCTAATTTGAGTCTAAATTTCCCACAAATCTAGCAGATTAAGAAGCAGGCTATTTTTGTACCAATTATGAGAAAGAACTCTCTATAGAGAAGTAACCAAGTTCATACCTGTACTCGGGATCACTGTCATAGGCATAGTCTCTGTAGTAAAGACCTCTTTTCATTTCCAGTTCGTCTTCCTTCTCTAGTTCTCTCTCATCCTGAAAAGTATAAAGATTTTCATTAATTCATTTTATAATTAAAATGACGCACACTTCTTTGGGAAATGCTGTCCTCCTCTCCCATTCTAAGAAATTGAATTAAATGTTTGGACATCTTAGAAAAGAAATAAAAGGGTAAGTCAGAATTTATTTTCTGTTCTGTAAGACTAACATAATTTTATTATATTTTTGCTAATACTATTTATCAAAGACTGGACACATAGTAGATGTTTCTTGAATCAACAAGTGAAAGGATACTGTGTATAAAAATATGAACTAAGATGTGTAGTAATATCTTACACACTGTTATGTGGAATCAAGATATTAATACATGGCAACTCCTCCTTGTATAAGTAGCTTGTTCAGACACATTCAAGAGCACAAGAAGTATATATATATATATATAAAAGCCTTAGCAACTGTTCTACTGTTCGACTAGTAGCTATTGTGCACACTGACCACCAGGGGCAGACGCTCAACACACAGGCATGGAAACATGGAACAAATTAATGAATCTCAGGAGGATGGGGGTATAAAGAAGACGGAAGAGATTAACCAAAGATATATGCATACTAGAGGCCCAATGCATGGATTTGTGCATGGTGGGGTCCCTCAGCCTGGTCTGAAGGGATTGGGCCAAAACTGGCAGTCCAACATCCTTTGGGGCGTCCTGGATTGTGAGAGGGCACAGGCCAGGCCGGGGGACCCCACTGGTGCACAAATCTGTGCAGCAGGCTTCTAGTAGTATCATAAAGAGATAGCTTTGTAAATTATATCCTTTATAGTAATTATTACCTTACTGTATGGCATTTACATAATTTAGTATCAAATATCTTTCTCACTGACTGGCCAATACCCTATTACCTACTCAAACTAGAATAAAAATAGAGAAAACTGATAACAAAAGGAACTTGTAAGCATAAATAGATTGCTATAAAAATTAGTGTTAATAAGGAATTCATTTTATGTAAGAAATCAACTGAAAATAGATTATGAAGAAAATAATTTTTAAATTTTGCTAAGAGTATGAAATTGCGAAGAAAGCATTCTGGTAAAAATGTAAACAATAAGTAAAAAAAAAAATAACAGAAGCCCTAACTGGTTTGGCTCAGTGGTTAGAGTGTCGGCCTCTGGCCTGAAAGGTCCTGGGTCTGATTCCCGTCAGGAACATGTGCCTTGGTTGTGGGCACAACCCCAGTGGGAGGGTATGCAGGAGGCAGCAAAACATCTCTCATCTGATGTTTCTAACTCTCTATCCCTCCCCATTCCTCTCTGTAAAAAATCAATAAAATATATTTAAAAAAATAAAAAAGAGTAACAGAAAATGTGAATATATTTAGAGTTATTAAAGCTTCTAGTTGAATTAAAACCTTTTATCCTTTCAAAGTAACTCTTTTAATTCTATTAATGCCCCCCCCCCCTTATTTTTGGTTTATTATTCATATAACTACAATGGCTTTCTTTTAGTTAGTGCTTGGATGGTATATATTTGTCCTTTTATTTTCAACCTTTCCTTATTACTAGTTTTTAGAACTTTTTTCTTAGATAGCATATATCTACTAGATGTTACTTATTTTTGCCCAGTTTGATAAATCAACAAAGTGAAGCCTTCACTCTGTTATCACAGGAAATGTAATTGGCTATCATGAATACAAAAGACACTACAAAAAAGTGAACGAAATAAAAAAAAGTAATGTTTTCAATCCCAAGAAATATGTTGCAAGAACTAAGTAATGTAAATATTAATTTAAAAATTCTAATGAATGACAATACTCTTTAATTTTATAAATACTAGTATAGTTGAAAAATTAATTTTTGACATTGTAATAAAAACATTGACTAAATTTTAAATGTTAATATATGAAAAAAACATACAAAAATACCTTTTAAAAAATATGAGCCTAGATTATTTATTAAACAAGACCCATATTTTTAGCTGGATAGTTACTATTCTAGACTCTGAGGACAGAAAGATAACTAAGACAGGCTTCCTGCATACGTGTGGAACAATGCTGCTATTCCATGAAACTCTATGGATAGAAAGGACCAAAGAATTATTAGGAGACATAATAAAAGACAAAATAAAGAAAATAAGGGAAAACTTTCTAATTAATGAAGCATTCTAAGAATAGAATGACTATCTTAAGAGGAAGTAAAATTACTGCAGAGCACTGATACCCATTTAGATCAAGGATTTCATGGAGGGGAATTCTGCCCTGAGAAACAAAAAAGACTAGATGACCTTCATAGTTATTCTCATCTGAGTTTAAGATTCAATTTTGCGACATTGTGTATGTATGTGTATGTGTGTGTATTTATACATATACATATAAATACACACATACACACACACACACACACACACACACACACACACACACACACACTAGAGGCCCAATGCATGAAAATTCATGCACTGGATGGGGGTCCCTCAGCCTTAACTACACCCCTCATAGTCTGGGAGCCCTAAGAGTGGAAGGCAACCTGGTGATCAGGGGAAGGAGATGCCCCATCACACCTTGGCTGCTGCCATGGCTGGCCCTGATTACCTGAGCCTTGGGTGGCCCTGGGTAGCTGAGCATCCACCATCCAAGGCTTGCCTGTGCCTCTGGCCAGCCCTGGGAAGCTGGAGGACTGAGGGGACTGTGCACCACCATCTTGTGGCTGTGAGTGCTGCCATCTTTGAGGGTGGAACAGTCAATTAGCATATTTACTCCTTATTGGCTGAGGGCACTACCATCTTTTGTGACAGCATGAGAGTCAATTAGCATATTCCTTCTTTATTAGATAGGAGATATATATATTCAGCACATACACATCTCTTATAAGAGTCCTTGTATAGTCTGTTTGTTAAAAGATCAGGTTATATAAAAACAAAGAGGCCAAAACATCACATCTTATTATAGCTTACTGACTATGGATCAAGCAAACATTTAAAGAGATGTATCATTCTTGTCAGTGTCAGAAAATACATTCCCAGGACATAGAGATTCAGCCCTTATTCCTCATCCACATTCCCACTTACCAACATGCAAATACAGAAAAAGATGGACAGCAGCAATATTTGTTGCATACCTATAAGGCATCTAGGACCTAGGTACTTTTTATATGGATGTCATTTAAACCTTCAATAACCACATCAAATATATTGAAACTAAAAAAAAAACTTTAAAAATTGCCAAAGATATAAACTAAGAGGCAGAACTGAAACTTGATTTACATTATACTGCCTCCTAGAATGCAAATAAACTGGACTATGAAATCAAAACCTCTATCCCAGGCCATTAGATCATTCTCCTATATATGTGGTCAGCAAACTGCAGCTCGGGAGCCACATGCGGCTCTTTGGTCCCTTGAGTGTGGCTCTTCCACAAAATATCATTGCCTGGGCAAGTCTATTTTGAAGAAGTGGCATTAGAAGAAATTTAAGTTTTAAAAATTTGGCTCTCAAAAGAAATTTCATTTGTCGTACTGTTAATATTTGGCTCTGTTGACTAATGAGTTTGCTGATCACTGTCCTATATGAAAATTAGACCCAAATTCTTTCAAGCTGATATCTAGTTAAATTTTTTATGAAGGTATGCTAGAAGAGTATAGTCCAGAATTTCCATAGTTTCAATTATCCTTGGATAATAGCAGTACAAGACTGCAGAATGGAAAATTCCAGAAAAAAACAATTCATGAGTTTTAAATTACATATCATTCTGAGTAGCATGTTGAAATCTCATGCCATCTACTCCATTCCATTCAATGTGAATCACTCCTTTGTCCAGTGCACCTAAACTGTCTATGCTACTAGCTTGTTAGTAGCCTAGTAGCTGTCTAGGTTATCAGATGGCAGTGCAGTATCACAGAGCTTGTGTTCAAGTAACCCTGTGATGCTGGCAATGTGGATATACCATAGAGAAGTGTCAAATGCTTCCTTTAAGTGAAAAGGTGTAACTCTTGACTTAATAAGGAAAGAAGAAAAATCATATGCTGAGGTTGCTAAGATCTATAGTAAGAACCATCTTCTGTCTGTGAAATTGTGAAGAAGAATAAAGAGATTTGTGCTAATTTTGTTCTTGCACCTTAAACTGATGAAAGGTAACCTGCAAGTTTGAGAAGCTCTAAAAACTTAACACAGAATTAATCCAACAAAACCACACCTAGGTATATAATGGTAAGCTTACTAAGCACAAAGTTGAAGGCCAAATCTTAAATGCAGCAGAGGGTGGGGATACATCACATTATTTCATAACAACTGAGTTTTCAACAGAAGCCAGAAGATAATGGGATGGATTCTTTAACATACTAAAGAAAACTACTAACTTAGAATTTCATATCCAATTAAACTATATTACATAAAATAAAAACCAAGATGTTTTCAAACAAACGCGAAAACAGAACTCAGCCAGGAAAATGACATAAACATAAGTGTCATATAGGGAATTCTTCAAGCAAAAGGGAAATGATTCTAGAATCTAGATGGGAACATGAAATTACTGACAAGAATGAAGAATAATAGAAATGGTAAATATAAGCTTAAATGAATAAACAAAATTTGTCTCTTTCATATATGTAGAATTTAAAAGGCATGGTAATAGACATTCAAAAAGGAGGTGGATTAAAAAGAGTTAATATTTTTAGGCCCTATTATGATTGGGGAAGTCAACAACAAAATAATTTTTCAGTATGCATGTTGAAATTTTTAGGGCAACCAATGACAGAATAGTAAAAAAAATAAATAACAAGTTGGTAAAAAAAAAAAAAAAAATGAATGGCAAAAAACACTTGTTAATCCAAATGAAAGCCCCATCAATTCACATAAAAATTCTGGATTTTCATTCTTGGGAAAGATTTTATGTGCTTTTATAAGATATGTACTTTAAGTCTAATGATAAAAAGCAAAGGATGGAAAAATATGGACTTTGCATATATTAGCCAAAAATTAATGTCGCTATAACTAGACTAACATCAGATAAAACATACTAACATCAGATAAAACACATTAAAATAATTCTAGAGATAAAGATGGACACTGCACAACAAAATGTTCTCATCACAGTCTAAAATCTATATCCAACCAATGACATAGCCTCAAAATATGTAAAATGTCACATAATCCAGTTATGTCTCCGGGACTGAGTTTAATGCCCTACATAACACTCATGATGATTGTTTTAAAAACTAATAAATGGAAAAGGAATCAAACACAAAAAGAATATATAGTAATTATTTCAATAGTCATTTATGTATACATTTTTGCCTTATCTCAAAAAATATTCTCATTTGATGTTCCCTAATATCAAACTTGGTAGATCTGCTCTGCTCTTTTCCTCTTTTAAACGTTTAATTAGTATAAAAATTAGATGGGTGGCTTCTTCAAATTGTTTTTTTCTTACCCTCTCCTTAATTTACCATTTAGAATCAAATCTATTGGTAGAACATGGAATTGTTTTGAACTAGCCCAAAAAAGAAGAGTTTCTGTATTTTGAAGGATGTGAAAAAAGTTATCATAAAGTCACTACTGACTCTTTATGAGATAATAATCCCTGATTTTTGTTTGTAGTGCAGATGATTTGTGTCAAACATTTTGCATGACTCAGGTCAGGCAGGAAGTTAGTTATGGAGGTTGTATATTTTCCTTCCCAATGATTAAATATTGCAAACTTTAGCTTTCTGTTGTGGTTTATATGCCCAGTTATAAAAAGCCTTCAAGGGAATATTTTAGAAACTAACATAAAAATGTCTTTGATGAGCCTGATGTGATTTCAAGACATTTTTTACCCGGTCATGGATCTCATCGCAGTTTGAAGGTGAGCACCAATCAGAATGGAATCTGTAGGCATAAAAAACAAAGGTGACTTGTAATCAGAAGATGAGAAAAAAAAATCTTTCCCAAATGACAGACAGAGGAAGTCATTTTTTTCTTATCCCTATGTGATAATATATAAAAATTAAGTAACATTTTTCATCTTTCAACCAAGCATAAGAGGCAGATATAACTCAAGTTAATTCTCAGCTATAGTATTAAGCACTCACAATATATTCAATAGACTTAATAATAAACTTTGACTCACCTTGTAGTAACATACCCATATATCTGACCATTCTAATAATTTACATACTTAATTCTTTAAAGCTTTGTCTCTACATAAAGAATATAAATTTTCATGTTAGAACAATAATTCAATGTAGAGTGCATTTAAAATTGGTTCTTATTTTCTAGTAATTGAATCATACTCAAACTATGTGGAAGAAATTCCTTTCTGCATACAGAATAAAACATCTTATGAAATGAAACAAAATATTTGCAATAGATTAAAAATGTTGTTTATAATCCAATCATGTTCTTACTCCTTCAGACCATAGGGGAACATTTCAAATATTGAATCATCATGTTATACATCTGAAAGCAATATAATGTTGTGTGTCAGTTATACCGCAATAAACAAATAAATAAAAAATACAGGGGAACATAAAAATTGAATGATCCCATCCCAATACAGATTGTATCATGTGTCTAGTCTCCACTATGATATAAACGTATTTTTGAAAAAGTAAATATTGAAAAATAAGGAAGACAAGTATCTTTTATTAGAGTCTGAATGTTAAAATTGAAAATGTTGAAGAAATAAAGTAACCATTCCTCTTTCTTATATCCCTGACCCAACTCAAAACTGGCATTAATATAATTAAGCTGTATAAGTAACGATGAAAATTTCTCAATCTGATTATAGTGCATGTGCATAAAATGCCATTGGTAAATCCTTTATAAAGGAATGAAAACTAAAATGTTAATTGGTTGCTTGAAATTTTGCCTTTTAATCTCCCAGTTTGTTCTTAAAGTTACAATTTTATATATTTACTCAGAGTATAGACTATTAAGCAAGATAAATGATTTTCATAAACTGTTGTAAAGAATGCAATCTACAATGGATGATCAACTACATCTAAATTTTAACCTCCTGCACTTTAAAAAGGAAGTATTACTGCATCTCTACAAATATCCTGGCAGACCTTACTTGCTACATATGTATGCATTTTGAAAATCTGAGATCCATATGTAGCTCCAACAGGACCTCATGGTACCTCCAAATTTACCATGAGAGGATCCACTAGTCTGTGCTGTGGTATAAGGAATGATTGTCTAACAATATTTTGTTCCACTTACAAAAATCAAAACCGCAAGCATGATGTAAAAGAAAATCAGTTCCTCTTAAATTAGATTTGCTAGTATTTCTCAGTCTGGTTTTAGTAATAATTCTACACCCTATTACAAAGGCTGCCATAATATTAATATTTATACTTTGAGGGAAAACTGCTTCTGAACTGTAACACATCAAATTAAAACCATTTTTTGGTGTGAAACTCTATTGGAGGTGTTTTTAAAATGTGCTTAAAGCAAAAAAACAAACAAACAAACAAAAAAACTTTCACAATAAATAAAAAATTAATTTGCTTAGAGTCACTGATAACAGTTTTAAACATCTGTTTATTTATATACATGATTAAGGAGTCAGCATTTTACAGCAATGTTAGAGAAAACTTAATTAATTTTAATGGCTATTTACCCAAATTCCTATAGCTGTATGTTTTGTCATACTCCTAATTTTTTCTCTGGGATATATATAACCTACATTTCTAGCAGTTTAAATTCCAATGGATTGTATAAACATCCATAAATATCCTGCTGAATAACCTGAAAAGCCAGATCAGAAATGTCTCATATTTAAAGATGTGGTACTGAGTGCACTAAAGAATAAAAGACTAAATCTATATATTTTTTAGAAAATACACTCAAAGCACAGGTGTATAACCTCAGTGAAAGTCCACCCCCCCAAAATTTTACTGTTTTAGATAAATTCAAAATTAACCTCAACCTTCCTCAAGTCATAGTTAAGTAATGCTTAATATTAGACTCACTCATTTCCTTCTAGAACCTCTATCCAGCATATAGTGACAGCATTTCAGAAGCAGTGATATGTGAACAAGCAAAGATGCTGCATGCTGACCTGAAAGACACCCCTGGAACAAGTGCTGAAATGTTTAAGGCTAGTAAGGGTGGTTTGATAAATTTAAGAAAAGAGGTATTTATTTGTAGATTAAACAGTGTATTAGGAAGGAATGGATTGTGCCTAAGAAAAGTTAAAGGAGGGAATCATTTGTGGGTCTGGAATGGATTAATTCAATTTACATTATTTCTAATGGGAAAACCGATTTGATTTTTGAGCAAATAGCTTCTCCAACAGCCTTCTGAAACTAATTAAGTTTGAGAATGAAGTTCCACTAAACTAAGGGTTGGGTTGTTGTTTTTTAATGTGACAGCTATTGCTTTCTATGTTACTATTGGTGAGAGAGGCAAGCAATTCCCAACTTGGATTCAACAACAATAATAACAAAAAACAGATGAAGAGAAATTATTTCTTTCACATTAAAATTATAACTAGCAGCTAACTTTGGTTGCAAAGGTTTTTTTTTTTTAGAGGAAGTGCTAGAATTTTTACATGATTAAGATTCTCTTGGGGAACTGGAGGGAGGTTATCTGAGGAAACTAGTTGCCATATACCAGCAATATATACATCATTATTATCACCAAAAGAAAAATATAATGTATGCTATTTTATACATATTTATATACATATGAATCTACTAAAAGCAAACTATCACACACTCTATTTTTCACTTTTATGAACTACTAGTAGCCCTGCTCATGAATCTGTGCCCCAGTAGGTCACTGCCGCCCTCCTGTAGCTCCCCCCACCTCCCCATCAGAACTCGCTGCCCTACCCCCTCCTGTAACTCTCCACCTCCCACTTGCTTGCTGCCTAGCCCCATCCTATAGCATTTCACCACCTGCTTGTAGTTTGCTGCCCCCGCCTCCTGCAGATCCATGATCTGATCCTTACTCGGTTGATCATCAGGCCTCAGGGCGTAATTAACATATTCCTCTTTTATTATATAGGATAGTATTTAATTAGGATTAAAGTCATCCTAATTACTAAACTCACTAATAATAAACTCACTTCAAGAGCACTGGGTTGGGGAGGAGTATCTCACACTATTACAATATACAATATGTTCTAAATAAAAACAATTCAAGGCTCTGAAAATCAAATTATACTTTTACAAATAATCACTTCACATATATTATTGCTACCTTCTCTTCTAGTAATGATTATTCAAAAAAGTAGTCCAGAAATAGAGACTAAGCATTACCTTTCCCTGAGAGAAGCTCGGTTTAACACAGGGCTTGGAGGATGCTTCATCGTCGTTGAGGGTGCTGAATGGACAAGTAAGGTCCTTGCTGAATGCCGGGACTTGCTACATGATCTTGGGCTCAAATACTCATCACACCTTTCCAAAGAGTCATCGAAGTCCATGCCATGGGGTGTCCTGATCACCTGTTATATAAATATATATACAGAATATATATAGTAAATTATCCAAACACACACACACACACACACACACACTCACACACACACGCACACTCACACACAAACACACACACACACACATCCTTGTAAAAGTTAAAATGCCATTGCTATATTTAAAGGTAAATTTCAGAATATAGCAATCATTCTTATAAGAACCAACATTAACTGCATCTGGATTGTTCATTCCACATGTCTAAAATTTATAAAATGTTATTACTATAAGGGCTTTTGAGGAAGGGTGAGGTACAGATAGGGATATATATAAATATAACACACACACGAACACACATAATACATACATACACACATATACATCATATGCATATATACATATACACACATACATATATACATATACATATATATGTACATGTACATGTGTGTGTGTATATATATATAAGGCCTGGGACATGAAAATTCATGCACTGTAAGGGGAGTGCCTCAGCCCAGCCTGCCCCTTCTCTCAGTCCAGGAGCCCTTAGGGACAGGAGGTGACCCAGCAATCAGGGGAAGGTGGCACCCCCATCACACTTCTGCTGCTACCACTGCCGTTAGCATAAGCCTTGACCAGCCCTAGTTACCTGAGCCTCAGGTGGCCCTGGGTGGATGAGCAGCCACCATCTGAGGCTTTCCTGCATCTCGGGCCAGCCCTGGGCAGCTGGGCAGCTGAGGGGTTGAAGGCAGGTCTGGCCACACCATGTGCCTGCCACCCCCCTGGTTGGGCTGAAAGGACTGTGGAACTCTGGGGAGGCTGAGAGGACTGGATGCCACCATATTTTGTGATGGTGTGATGGTCCATTTGCATATTCCCTCTTTGTTAGATAGGGTATATATATATATATATATAAAACAAAAGATAAATATACATAAATAGTAACCTAGTTTAAGCTATGAGGTCAAACAGAACAGAATTCTAATCCTAATATTCATTGCTTCATTTGTTCTGGGAGACAAATGAATGAACCAGGATAAACAAATTCATAAATTCTTGCCCAAGTAGTAAAATTTACATTTGAATAAAGAGAAATAGATTAAACACACACACACATTGAAACAAATAGATAAAAATATACAGTATGTCAAAGGATGACAAATAGCATGGCAAGAAAATAAAGCAGGAAAGGAGATAAGAACTCCTGATGATTGCTATGGGTGGGGTAGGTAGGGAAGGAGCTGTTAATTTCAAGTAGGAGAGAAAATGGGGACTGCATAGAGAGAATGTCTTAGTAAAGACCTATGGAGTAAAGCCTGAAGACATTAGTGAAGATCACAAGATGTCCTTGGGAAGAACACTCAAAAAAGAGACAAGTAAGTGCAAGGGGCATGCCTGATACAGTAGAAACAGCAAGAAAGACGGCAGGGCTGGACAAAACAGTATGAGATGAGTTCAGAAATGTAGATTTTAAGGATTTAGGCTTCTATTGTGAGCAGGAAAAATGCCCCTTTTTCTTTTGTTAAATTTAATAAGATCCCCTTGGCCACTGTGTTAAGAACAGAAAATAAAGGGACCAAAGGCAATGAAAGGGAATTCAGCTAGAAAACTATCAAAACTAAATAAAGGAAAGGATGCTGACTTGAACCAAAGTGATAACAATGGAGGGGGAAAGTAATCAGATGTAGAGAGCATTTAGAAGAGAGAGCCAAAAGGATTTGCTAATGGACTGGATGTCAAATACAGCACCAAAGGTTTTGGCCTAATCAACTAGAAGAGTTGAGGTTGTATGAGTTAGTTATAATATTCCAACTGGAAGGGTAGAAGAGTGAAATATTAAGAGACTGGTTTTGTTTACTTTCACATATCTATTAATCTATTAACCAGCTAACATAGTAGAGTGGCGTTCAGCAGAAGAGTCCAGGATAAAGTTATAAATAGTATTTAAAGATATGACACTAGGTGATATCACCAAGGAAGTAAGAGTAATAGAAGAAAACATCTGAAGACCGCGCTCTGGGAATACTCCATTACTGAGAGGCTGGGGAGACAGAAAGGAAACAGACAAAAGAGTGACCAGAAAAGAAGGGGGAGAAATAGAAGAATGTGTCGTTCCAGAAGTCAATTAAAGAATATATTTCAAGGAAGGGAAGTAATTGGGTCAAATATTGCTGATATGCCAAGTTAGAAAAGACTGGGAATGAACCTTCGGATTTTAGCAATGGGAAGGTCATCAGTAATATTAACAAGCATAGCTTTGAAGAAGTGAGGTAAGTGATAATCTGGAGTTGAGTTCAAAATTGAATGAGAGGAGGAATTACATTTATTAACACAGTTAACTTCTAGTCATTGCACTAAGTGTTAGGACTATAACAGCAGCTTATATTCTAGCAGTATTATTTACTAAATATTTGACCTTTAAGAAGGCCAGTTTGACCTTTAAGAAAGTTACCTAATCTATCACAGATGCATTTCCTCATTTGTAAAGAAGGGTTAATAATAGCTAATTTATTGATTTTCCCATAGTTTGTTTAGTGAAGTATCTTACAGTATGCCATTCATGATATGACAATTATTGTTAGTGCATTTTTTTACTAAGATAATTTTCAACTTATATGCTTTACCTGAAAACAAGGGTAATTATCATCATCCTGTAAGTTATTCCACATACCTTATAATCCTTGGGTCGGTAGCCGCTATGATGAAAATGATCTGAAAAAAGATGTACAAATTAAAATTATAAATATTTCATATCAAAAATAAGAAAAGTTGGTGTCACCTTGGCTTTCTGCTACTATTTATTTATCCCTTTTTTTCTATGATTATCAGGCAAAAAGGCATTGTAGGATAGAAAGAATGGCCTTATAAACAAGACATCAGAGAGCTGGCTCTCGCACATGTTCTGTGTGATCTTTTTCTCCATTTCTTCCTCCCTGCACACAGGAAGAGTGGTCACATGAGCATAGAGTGAGAGAGCAGCTTCCCACAAGCCTAGAGAAGAGATCTCGGAATGAAACCTATCTTGCCAGCACTTTGAAATTAAGACTTTTCAGCCTCCAGAACTGTGACAAAATAAATTTCTATTAGTTAAGCCCCTGTCCATGGTATTTTGTTAGGGCAGTTTAAGCAGACTAATACAGTACAGGACTATTATTTCTACTCTACCTTTCAGGAGGCTGACTGCCTGTGTAGCTGAAAGTAATGGAACTGAGGTCTTGGATTAGTCCAATTGCTACTTGCACAAATAGAAGAATATTAGATTTCTTTATTATAAAAGAAGAACACACAGAATAGAAGTGACTTAGTGTCAAAAATGACACCAGATGTGGATTCCTTAACCAAATGGATGTAATATATAATCAATTTAATCAAATATCAAGTAATGACTAACAGTGCAGGTTAAAATAAACATGTGGCAGTCATCAAAACATTTCCTTAACAACTATCTAAAATAGAAATGAAAACCCACTTTGTATAAAGTCATTGTTCACACTGGGAGCAGTCCGATAAGTGAGAACCTCTGCATCCATCCATTCTCCATAGTTGACCTTCACCCAACAGGTGTAGATGTGACTCAGTCCTAAAGGACCAATCCTGGCTTTAAGCAGGAAGGACTTAGAGCTTTAATCTAAAACTCAGAAACTCTGTAACAGTTCATTGTTCCTATCAAAATTATCAATGTCAAATACAAAGAAAGTCTCAGGAACTGATCTATGTAAAGAAAACTAAAGAGACATGGCACCTGAGAACTAATAGGATGAGGCATTTCATTTCTATGGCTATAAGGATATTATTGAGACTAGTAGCAAAATCTAATTTAGGTTCATAGGTTAGTTGCTTTTCTTATATCACTGTTAATTTCCTGCTCTGAGAATTGCACCACAGAACTGAATATCTGTTTTAGTCTCTTCAGGCTTCCATAACAAAACATCACAGATTGGGTGGCTTACACAACAGATATTTCTTTCTCATAGTTCTGGAAGCTGCAGGTCTGAAATACAGGTGTCAGCACAGCCAGGTTCTGGTAAGTGTTCTTGTTCTGCCTCAAAGATGGCTGCCTTATAGCGGTGTCTTCACATGGCAGAGATGAAGAGCAAGATCTTTGGTGCCTCTTGTTATAGGGCACTAATGCTAACAAGAGGGCCCCATCCTCATAACCTCATCTAAACCTCATTACCTCCCAAAGGCTCCATGTTCAAATACCATGACAATGGGGTTAGAGCTTCAACATATAAATTCTGAAGGGACACAATTCATTCCATAGTGATGTCCTTGTCAAAATTTTATACATAGGCATGCACGCGCGCGTGCACACACACACACACACACACACACACACACACACACGAAGGCAGGAAGAAAGAGATATAAAGAGAGAGAGAAAATCAAATATTAATGTGTGTGGATTCTGAAAGGTATATTAGAAGTCTTTGTACTCCTTCAACTTTTCTTTAAGTCTGAAATTTGGCAAATATATAAATGTAAAAAAAAAATCAAACATTTAAGTGCTTTCCGAAAACATCTTCCAAATAAACATCTATATTGAAATTACTTTTTATTTTCTTGTTCTTAAAGCTTATTTTTCCATGCCCATAAATTTCTTCTAAGAGGAGAAACAGATTATAATAACATCTGTTCCCAAATTCATATAATCTGACATTATAAGTATAAAAGACTTATTACCACATATATCTCCATTAGTGCTAAAAAAAATAAAGCAAAGTAAATGAGCAAAAACTCTGAATGTTTTTAGAGAAGAATGTTTCATTTTCCCACTTGATAAAAAGATTATACACTACAGTTTAGAAAGAGAAAGAGATAGAGCTCACTGCATGTCATGATTATATTTTATTCACTCTCTCATTTTTCTTTCTCTATGCCTTTGTTGATATGTAGTAAATTAACTTAAGGGCTGCTGATGAATACTTGAGCTGACTAGACATGTCTATAGATATTTACACTTAAATATCCCTAATTATTCAATACTATTTAACCTTCATAAAAATCATCTTCATACTAAACTTAAGAAAAATACTTATCTAACCATTTGGACTAAAGCTAAAGTTTAAGGATATATTCTTATAGACTAAACCTAAAGAATGTTATCTTTTCAGAAACATAAATCATAAGTATTATTTATATATTATAACTAGAAGCCTGATGCACAAAGATTTGTGCTAGAATGTGCTTTCTTTTCCCTGGCTGCAAGCATCGCCTTTCCACTCTAACCCAGCCTCTTTTGCTCCATCCCAGAGCTTCCTTCTGCCCCAAGAACTGCCTCTCTGCTCCTGCCCCTCCTTCCCAGGCTGCTCAAAGGTCCTGAGAGACCAGGGGTGGGATGAAACACCAGCCCCCCTCATTTAGCACGCCTATGTATGCAAATTAACCATCCTCTTTGTTGAGTTAATTGCATATCACTCCTGATTGGCTGTGAGCATAAGCAGAGGTTCAGTCAGGTTTGTCTATTATTAGGTTATATAAGAGCTGATGTTTTAATTCCAGTGTGTTAAGGCAGTTTACATGGCAACATTTACCATGTTATCCTCACTCTTTAATAACTAAACTGATTATCAAAGTAGTTAAGAATTTATTAAAGAACTTCCATTTTGTAAATAAGTGATAGAACAAATATTCAAATATATGTGTAAATGTCTGTCTAAAACCTATAATGAACTCTTTACTACGGTATTCCCCAAGGTTAGTAATATATGTTAAGGTGAGAAGAGTTCCATAGTTAAATAAATGGTTTATAGCAAGACAGAAATTCTATTAATTTTGAGAGTACCAATATGAGTGTCCCATAAGTTATAAAAAAAACAAAAAACAAAATGCTATGCCATATCATCCAACAATACAGCAAATATTTTTTTTTTTTTTTTTTTTTTTGTTGTGGTTGTTGTTAACTGATGCCAAGTGAAAGCCTTGACAGTAGTCAAGGCAATAAAGCAATGAAGAGAGAGAACCTGTAGCTTACCATTGTGCATCCTGGACCATCCATCTCTTTCACAATCTCTGCTAGAAGACCCAAATAAAGTATCAGCCCTGGGACTTGGGGGATCGACCTAGAAGAAGGAATTCAATGTAAAATAAAAAAACAAAACCACATCAGCTTGAATCTTCTTTCAGTCTATGACACCAGAAAATCAACTAAAGTACACAGACCACATATCTTCTGGTTAATGTGGCAGTGTCAGCATGTTTCAAAGTCAGAGCATAGATGGGTATTTTGTTGTTCATTTGTAAACAAAACTGATATTAAGTTCCAGAAATTTTTAATTATATATTTGGCCTATTTAGAACTGAAGATATGCATTTGAAATACATTCATTACTCCATTGCTTAATTTGCTTTCCATTACCAAGTTTAAAAAACAGGAATCTACTTTGCCACATTTATAAAGCAAGTTTAGTCATTTGCTACTTATCTCCTTAGCATATAGATTTTGAATTCAGTGTCTTTCATTGGCTGTGTTCAGAGCCCAGCATGCTGAGTGCTTTATAGCTTAGAAATAGTAACAGTCAATCAAATTTTCTAACCAAAAATAAAAAGTCAATGATATAAATCTGTGTATAAAAAGACAGCTTTACTCAAGAATATTAAAAACTTTGAATTAAAGTTTTCAAAGAACAATAACAAGAGCGTGAGAAGACAACCCATAGGAGAAAATATTTGCAAATTATATGATACATTAATATGTAGGCATTAATATGCAGAATATGTAAACTTCTACAACTTAATTTAAAAACTCAATTAAAAATGGGCAAAGGTTGCTGTGGCTGACGGGTTCCATTCCAGTGCGACAGCCAGACCCTGACTGCCTGACTGATGGTGGCTGTCAGTTTCAGGTCTTAGAGTCAAGCATGAGGGTGGGGAGGCGAGGGGAGGAGAGAATAAAAAATATATATTGAAAAAAATAAGTGGGCAAAGGACTTAGACATTTTTCCAAAAAATATAAAAATGAACAATAAGCATATGAAAAAAAATGTTCAACAGCACTAATTGTTAGGGGATCGCAAATTCAAACCACAATAATACTTCATACCCATTAGGGTTACTATTAGAAAACAAACAAACATACACACACACACACACAAATAAAGCAAAAAAAAAAACAAAACCCGCAGACAATAGTAAGGGTTGATGAGGAGAGAAAATTAAAACCATTTGCATATTTGATGAGAATATAAATTGGTGTAGCTACTATAGAAAATAATATGGAGATACTTCAAAATTTTCAAAATAAAACTGTAATAGGATCCAGCAATTCCACTTCTGAGTATCTATCCAAAAGACATGAAAGCATGGGATTGAACAGATATCATGACACTATGTACACAGCAATATTATTCACAATAGCCGCTTATATGAGACATCCAAAGTAAAAAAATTCATAAAAAACTGAAAGCAGAAATGGTAATTGCCAGAGGCTAAATGGGAAGGGGAGTGGTGAGTCATTGTTTAATGGGTACAGAATTTCAATGTAGCAAGATGAAAAAAATTCTGGAGACAGATGGTGGTGATGGTTATCTAATATTATAAATGTAGTTAATGCCACTACACTGTACACTTAAAAATGGTTAAAATACCCCTGCCAGCATGGCTCAGTGGTTGAAAGTCGACCTATGAACCGGGAGGTCACGGTTCTATTCCTGGTCAGGGAATATGCCTGGGTTGTGGGCTTGATCCCTACTGTGGAGTGTGCAGGAAGCAGCTAATCAATGAATCTCTCTCTCATAATTGATGTTTCTATCTCTCTCTTCCTCTCCCTTCCTCTCTGAAATCGATAAAAATGTATTTTAAAAGGTTAAAATAGTACATTATTTATTGTTTATATTTTAGCATAATTTTTAAAACGTAAATGAGGATAAAAAGAAAGCCACAGAATGAGAAAAAAAATTACAAATCATATCTGATAAAGTTCTAGAATCCTAAATATATAAAGAAAACTTACAACTGAACAACAAAAAGACAAACAACCTACTTGAAAATGGGCAAAAAATCTGAATGGAAAGTTCTCCAAAGAAAATACACAATTGGCTAACAAGCACATGAGAAGATGCTTAACATCATTAGTCTTTAGGAAAATGCAGATCTAAACCATAATGACATACCAAACCCCTAGGATAGTTCTAATAAAAAGAAAACAAAATGGAAAATAAAAAGTATTGTTAAGAATGTGGCTAAATTGGAATTCTCATAGATTGTGGTGAGAATATAAAACCACTGTAGGAAACAGTTTGACAATTCTTCAACAAATTAAATGTAGAATTACCTAATGGCCCAGAAATTTCACTCTTGGGTATTAAAGCCATTAGGAATTAAGACAGGCATGCAAACAAAAGCATCTGTACAAATGTTCATAAAATCACCGTTCACACAACCAAAAGGCAAAAAAACAAAAACAAAAACAAAAAAAACCCAAATGCCAATCAACAGATAAAGAAAATTTGTTATGTATTCATACAAAAAGAATCAAATACTGACACATGCTAAAACAAGGGTGAAAACTCAGTAACATTGTTCTAAATTAAAAAACCAGACACAAAATGCCAATATTGTATGTTTCTACTTGTATAAAATGGCAGGATAGGAAAAGCCAGACAGATAAAAGTAAGATTAGTGATGGCAAGGGACTGGAGGGAGAAAGGAGTGGGAAGTGAACGTTTAATGAGTGCAGGGTTTTGGTTTAGGATAATGAAGTTCCGGAAATAGACAGTTGTGACAGCTGCAGAACAATATGAATGTTCTTACTGCCACTAAATTATATGCTTTAAGAGGACTGAAATGGTAAATCTGCATGTGTTTTACCACAATAGAAAAACAAATTTACTCCTCGTAAATAAAATCCTATTCTTGATAAATGAAAAAGAAAAAAATGCTGTTTAACTTTTTTAGAATGGTGTGCCAGTCTATTTGGGGGCATACTAATGATTTCTTGAAACTGCTCCATATTCTTTAGGCTATATTTCATACAATATATGTAAAACTATAATGTCTTTCCTAGAAGTATTAACATTTTGCATACGGATGTAACAAATTAAGATTTGGTTTGGTTTCCAATTTGTTAAGTGCTTTTAAAATCATTAATGACTATAGGGGAGAGAAATGCCTATATTTATAAATACAACTAGAAAAATCTAATTTCCTATACAATAAGGAGGCAATTTTCTAACTGTATGCATTTTTTTTCATTAGAAAGCTGAGAAAAATCACTTTAATAAAAATGTCAAGGTTTATACAAGCCATATTAGAATTATTCTATTTTGAACACTGATGTGAAAAGCAACAATATAATAAACATGTTAAGGACAGTTATTTCCCTAAACAACTTCTATGTGGCTAACCCCCAAAATATTCCCAGTTGTCTTTGTGCATAGCCACTTAGTATGTCCTTTCTTTTCAATTTAATTTACAATTAAGGGCAAATATAAAATTAAAAGAATGCTAAACTGCCATCAAACAAGCAAGTACACATTATCTGGATATTGTTGATACAAACCACCACAAAAAATAATATTATCAGAACTTATAAATTCTACAGAAATAAGTCTAATGTAATCACAGTAATATAAACGTAAACCATATGAAAAGCAGGTTTCTACATAGAAAAATTATAACTATGCTACCCTTAAGTTAATGCTCTTCATTTTCAAAGGCCTTCCCATCACTGTCAAAATAACAATCTGCTTCAAAGATCCATTCATTATTTAAAGTTTACACAGGAAACATAATTTAAAGAAAACTTACTTTCCATTATAATTTTTTAAAAGGCTGGAGAAAAATTAGGTGGTGGTGGGGGGGTCTTCCTTTTCATAAAGATAACTAAGATCCCTTTTAAAACTCTGTCCTGCCATTTCCATTTTCGTACTAACATCAATTACATCTAAGTTCAATCAGTACAATTATTATGCTGTACACAGTATAAGAAAAAAGGAAATGGGTACTTAGAGGATTTAATATGACATTCATAGTGGAGCTTGATCTTTGTCAGGTTTAAAAACTGACAAAAGAATGTTCTTTTATTCCCAGTTAATTTTCCATTTTAGATTGCTGGGCTAACAATTCAGGAAAGAAAATTATTAACATAGGCTAGAGGTTGAAAGAAGTCTTAGAATAATATTTCTGTGAAAGAACAGATTAGTTCAGTTTCAAATGGAAATGTTTAAGAGAACACGTACATGTCTAATCACAAATGGAGGTTTATCTGTTTCTTTTTTGAATTCGTAGGGTCCCAGGTTTAAGTGGGCCAGCCGCCGCCTGGTGTCTTCGGATAGCTCACACATGCGTCTTTTTGTGTAGGGAGATGGAGAGTGTGATTTTGAAGAAATCGTAGGCTGTTCGTAGCTTTTTGCATTTACGCAATATTTACTTCTCTCAGGTGACTTGGATTTTTTCTTTTGAGATCTTGATGTTCTGAATTGCAGTCTGCCGTGTGGTTTTTCAACTGGAGCCGTATGGTAAATATATTTATCCTAAACACAAAAAATAAAATGAACTTGGGTAGAAGAAAGATAGATAAATATAAATAGATATATATTTTTTAAAATAAATTTATAGCATTGTAATCTATCAAAGCCAATTAGATTAGTCTTTCCTATTTGTGCATATCCTAAAGGAAGTCAAACTCAAATTCTCCTAGAAAACTCTTTGTCTAGAAGTCAATTACGAATACTAAGTGAACCTTCCTTCTAAGTTTAACAAATACTTTATGAAAACAAAAACCTAATATTTAATCATTTGAAAAATCTAGGATACAAGTTCAGAAAAGTTACTTTTCAGTATACTAAAAAAAGTTAATGCTAACATTGATTTATTGTTTATAATTAAGTATTCAAGTAATTATATATATATAATTTAAGAAGGTTTATATTAATGTTACAAATACACATGTCTAATTGATTATGACATCTTTATTGAGAAAACTATTAAAATAAGTTTTATTCATATGCTATGATTATAAATATATAGAAGTATAAATTTGAAAATCTGAAGAACATGTTTTCATGAAATATATTACTTGAATTATACAAGGTGATTAGGATTTTTTTAAAAATATATTTTATTGATTTTGTACAGAGAAGAAGGGAGAGAGATAGAGAGTTAGAAACACCGATGAGAGAGAGTCATTGATCAGCTTCCTCTTGCAGACCCCCTATTGGGGATATGCCCGCAACCAAGGTACATGCCCTTGACCGGAATCGAACCCGGGACCCTGAGCCAAACCGGTCTCGGCAAGGTGATTAGGATTTTAAGATCTCCACCAAACTATAAATTTATAATTCCACTAGAGGCCTGGTGCACAACATTCATGCATGGGGGGGGTTAGGGGGAGGGGAGAAATGGGAGGGGATCCCAGGATGGAAGGGGGGCCCTCAGCCTGACCTGTGCCCTTTAGCAGTGGGACATCCTTAGCACAGCACTGCTGCGCTCCCTAGCTGTCAGCCTGGCTTCTGGATGAGTGGCCCTCTCCCTGTGAGAGCACACTGACCACCAGGGGCCAGCTCCTGTGCTAAGTGTCTTCCCCCTGGTGGTCAGTGTGTGTCATAGCGACAGATCGTTCTGCTGTTTGGTCATTTGCACATTACCCTTTTATTATATAGGAGGAGGATGATAGCCATACCAATTTAATTCTGGTTCCACATTTGTTATAAAAGTAAAAATGTATAAAAGACATGTAATAAACTGGAATGATTAGCATTCTATCTTCTAAAAAAAAGTTATCAGTCTAAATTTTTTTAAAATGTGATTCTAAATTTTTTGCATTATTAAGATAACATTTTATTTAGTCTCTGCCTTATAAATGCATTAAAAGATGGGTTTTCCTATATAAGAGAAGCTTAGTATGCAAATTGTCCCCTCTACCAAAAGGTCGTCTGGCAGTGCCTGTGGGGGGAAGGGACGGAGTACCCAGCTGGCATCTGGCACTAGGGACCCTACCAGTGCATGAATTTCATGAACTGGGCCTCTACTAAGTAAATAAGACTTCTTCACTCACTTTCTAGAATTATGAGCTTTCTAATATTAGAAAAAATGAGAATATCAGGGCAGTCGAGAATTTTTAATGTCCTCCTAACTTTAATCACTTTAGAAAACCATCAATCCTACCCCACTTTCTACTTTCTTAATCCCCTTCCCTTTTTGCTAAAGGTATCTATTCTAAGAAAATAAAAATGTGAAAAAAAGGGAGAAAAATAAAATATTCTTTAAAAGTTGATAAAGAGGAAAAAAATATTTTCCTAATTGGAAAAATGGAAAAATAAGTCCATGAGTTTCATACAAACCATCAGCAACATATTTCTTCATCTTTTTTGGCTCTTGGCCCTTCTCCCACCTTGTTCAGTGACTTCAACAAGTAATTCAGAATTTTCCTACCTTATCCCATTTCATCTGCCTCTATGACATCACACTGACTCACAAAGGCAGGGATGGCAGCACATGAAAGGACCTTTAAGGTTTAATAAAATGTTCAAGCAATGAATTTTTCTAAGGCCTTGGACTGAGGCTTTCTATTTCTCAGCTTTAATTATCTTCTAGTACTTTTCTTAGATTTCATCATTATACAGATCCATGGCATCCCATACTCTGAAATCCCTTCCTCACCAAAACTTTTTCCTTAACCTACTTCATTTATTCTCCCTGAATCTGTTACTGGCCCTCTCAACCCTTCAGTCCCTAGACCTCATTCCCCCAGACCTTCCTACATTTTTAGTATCTCTTATTTCCAGACCCAGATGAGCCCGTGATCATCCACTTTAGAAAAGCTGTAAAGTTCCTACTTATCCACCTCTGATTATACCAAAGCTAAAGTAATAAACCCCACTTTCTCTTTTCATTTTTTAAATGTTAAATACTACTAGAAGAAGTTATAAATAGTAATATATCTACTATATATTAACTCTCCTCACTCCTTAATGAACCCTATTAATGCCAATAAAACACAAAGCAAGTGCTGTTTATACTGCTAACATAAAAGCTTGATCCTTTGGCCAACAGTATAATAGCATATGAGACACAAAGAGAGACTTGAAAAATATTTGCTGTCTTTTACGCCTAAGAACCTTCCTGCCACTATGTGGTAGAGCCAAACTGAGTGGAGTTAGCCTACAACATGATGAGTGTCTGTGGCCATTGCTCCAGCTGAAATAAAGCCAATTGCCAGAAATGTGAAGTCCCTTCCTGGACCAAAAAGTCAGCCAACTGAGAAAGATGTGAATGAAGCTATTCCAGATGATTTAGCCCTAGCCTAATCGGTCCAGACCAAAAGAATCACCAGCCAATCCACAGAACTGTGAGAAACATTTTGTTTTAAGCCACTAAGTCAGATGGCTTTTTACACAGCAAAAGCTACCTGACACAGCAGATTAACAAACATATTAGTAAAGTTTCTATTGATATTTAGCTAATAATGAATTCTACTTTGCAGTAGGTAAAAAAAAAAAAAAAAAAGAGTAGAAAACTAGTTTTATTCCAGAAAATCACAATAATATGCTTACTTTCTCCCCCCCCCCCCCAATAAATCTAATTGGTGACAAAACATTCAATTTGAAATGTACCAAAAGAAATAAAGATTATAAGCATTGTAAATCTCAATAATCTCAATAATTTTTATGGACACCTCTCCTAACAATAAAAGTGGTTTGTCTTATTCTTATATTTGAATCTTAAAATGCTTTAAAGCTGTTAACATTTTAACTGTAACTAATATTCACTTTTTTAAAAAAGTAGATTTATGCCGAGACCGGTTTGGCTCAATGGATAGAGCGTAGGCTTGGGGACTGAAGGGTCCCGGGTTCGATTCCGGTCTAGGGCATGTACCTTGGTTGCGGGCATATCCCCAGTAGGGGGTGTGCAAGAGGCAGCTGATTGATGACTCTCATCAATGTTTCTAACTCTCTATCTCTCTCCCTTCCTCTCTGTACAAAATCAATAAAATATATATTTTTTTTTAAAAAGTAGATTTATTACATTTTCAAATAAGTTCAAATAAGATTATAATTCTGGCTGTTAACATTCATAATTTTAATGTAAATGTATATACTCTTTGGGCCTATCACTCAATGTTTTCCATTTTATATTTCAACTATTATCTTCTGATCTCTTTCAATTATCTTTCAAATAACCTAGTAACAGCCAAAAAATTAATTCATTAAATTTTATGTGCCAGGCAAAGCCTCCAATTTAATCTTTAAAATAGCCTCTGAAAAACTGAACCCAGATCTGTCTGACACCAAAACCTATTCTCTTCCATCTCTATTTTAAAGAACAAATGATAAATATTGAAATAGCATGTTAGCCGAAACCGGTTTGGCTCAGTGGATAGAGCGTCGGCCTGCAGACTGAAAGGTCCCAGGTTCGATTTCGGTCAAGGGCATGTACCTTGGTTGCAGGCACATCCCCAGTAAGAGGTGTACAATAGGCAGCCGGTCGATGTCTCTCTCTCATTGATGTTTCTAACTCTCCATCCCTCTCTCTTCCTCTCTGTAAAAAAATCAATAAAATATATTTTTTTAAAAATGAAATAGCATGTTAAAACAAGACTTCCCAAATGTTTACAAGGAAAATGAAGTACTAATGGGGAGACTCTGGAGATAGTTTTACATTTCAAAAGGACTCTTTCACCAAGCTGTACTCTTAGAACATGTGTGTTTTTCTGTGTATATGCTATACTCCAGACAGAAAAAGACTTCTTTAACCACCCTCTAAATTGGCATGTCATCTTTTTTTTTTTTTTTAAATATATTGATTTTTTTACAGAGAGGAAGGGAGAGAGATAGAGAGCTAGAAACGTCGATGAGAGAGAAACATCAACCAGTTGCCTCTTGCACACCGCCTACTGGGGATGTGCCCACAACCAAGGTACATGCCCTTGACCGGAATCAAACCCGGGACCTTTCAGTCCGTAGACTGACGCTCTACCACTGAGCCAAACCAGTTTCGGCTGGCATGTCATCTTAATGTGGAAAGAAAAATGTTGCTGAGTCCATGTAAGACATTTCTAACAATTTACAACTTCTAACAAGTGTGCAGTGTGTATATCAAAAACAAGTCAAAAACATATCTCTACATTCAGTAAGTATAAATTGCTAGAACTCTAACAGCTGTGTTTCAGCTTGCATTTAAAAAAGACAAATAACTACAGCCAAATTCTGATGTATTAAATATCTTGCTCAATAAGATACTATCCCTTTGATAATTTTATAACTATGTTTTACCTTTCTTAGCTTAAGTCAGAGTTATCATCTCCAGCAAATCTACTCTTAAAATTGATAATGCAGTAAATTAAGACTCCACTCTTTCCATCGTAAGCCCCATCCTGTCCTGCTTGGGCCCTCAGGGCTTTATATATCCCTAGCCCTTCATCACAGGCTGGTCATTGTTACCTAGTCATAATGCATCCATATAGGAGTGATGCCTAAGCATTAAGAGATAACCTCTGGATAAGGTAGCAAGATGACCCTGATGATTCAAGGAGTAAGACCAGAATGGAATATTAGAGCCAGATATCTCAGTTCACTAAAGGAAGTTTTCAAAAATATAGAAGGTACTTAGGCTGGAGTGTCTGAGATTCACTTGATCTGATAGTAACAGTAACCTCGCCAAACTGAGGAATAGTCCCTTAAGGAATTAGAGACATTCAAGAAAACACAACTCACTAAACACCAATATCCCAGCCTGAGACTTCAGTCATATTTGCTAAAAAGGATCCTTGGAACTTTCTGCAGTAACCTGTAGCCTCTGTAAGATTTATAGAAGCTTCCAATCTAGTTCTCAGGGATGTCTTGATCTCAACATCTTTCTGACAGCCTCATTTCTTGGCATTAAAGAAAGGTCCATACAGTTTAAAAAAAATAAATAAATAACATCCTGCACCATACAACATGTGTAGCAGACCTTTCACTCTCACATTTATTAAGATTTAGCCAAAGAACATATATGCATAACCCATGGACACAGATGACCATGTGGTGATGGCAAGAGGGAAGGGGTGGCAGGGGCTGGGTGGAGTTGGACCAAGTGGGGGAGGAGGAATGGGGACATCTATAATAATGTCAACAATAAAAATAAAGTTTAAAAATGTTTTAAAAAAAGATGTAACCAAACTGCTAAAACCTATGATTATTATTAATTATCCCTAAACTAAAGATGGACCCCCCCAAAAAAAAGTGAAAACAGCTACAGTAAATTAATAATAATACTGCTTGCCAAATGCCCATAAATATGAACAGATAAATTAAACCATTAAATACTTTAAATGACTAACCTGAGTGCGGCACTTCCTTGAACTTATCAGACATTCAGTAATCACTGAGGTTGTAGAAAATTCCAGCTTTGGAGCAATTCCCTGAGGGGAGAAAAAGGCATTTTTAGACATTTCACTGTTTCATTGTTGTTGTGAATCCTGACCCGAGAATATTTTTTCCATTGATTTTTAGAGAGAGTGGGAGGGAGGGAGGCAGACAGAGAGAAAGAAACATTGATGTCAGAGAGATACATCGATTGGTTGCCTCCTGTACATCCCCTGACCAGAGCTAGGGATCGAACCTGCAACCTAAGTAAGTGCCCTTGACTGGAATCAAACCTGAGACCCTTCAGTGCAGGCTGAACTGGCTAGGGGCTTCCTACTGAAGATAAAGACAATGTAATGATGCTAAATGTTAGCTGGAAACAGTTTCACTGTTTGTGATTCACTTACAAGTTGATTATATTACTTTTATGAAATAAATGATACACTTTTTATTTTTAAGTATTTCCCTGTCAAATTTCTTTAAAGATTTTTAAACTATGATGCAATATTAAAGTCATAGATACATGAAAATGCTTCATGGATTTCAGCTCTTTTTGCTTTTACAACTAAAAACATATCTAACTATATAATCAAGAAATACTGTGGATAGCCTCTTCATGTTAAAAAAAAATCATAACTCCTGGATATGCAGTTGTCAAAAATAAGAAGAGGAATCTGTACCAATTCGTCCAACATTTTTTCCCATGATATAGCTTACATTCAGATCTATTCACTTTTTTAAAATATATTTTTATTGATTTTTTTACAGAGAGGAAGAGAGAGTGATAGTTAGAAACATCGATGAGAGAGAATCATCGATCAGCTGCCTCCTTCACTCCCCCACTGGAGATGTGTCCACAATGAAGGTACATGCCCTTGACCTGGGACCCTTCAGTCTGCAGGCCGATGCTCTATCCACTGAGCCAAACTGGTTTTGGCTCTATTCACTTTTTTGAGATAAGTGAAGACAAATGGTGAAATTCAAAGGAACAGTCACAAAGCACCTGAGAAAATACTTGGAAGCACACAAGTTATGCCTTCACCAAAACCTTTAAAAATATTTTCTGTTCTCAGTGCAGCTTCTCTCTAATACAGATAGAAGGCAGAAATTGACCAAAGATGCCTACATTTGTCCTCTACAAACCTAGCCTTTAACCTACTAAGTTTAAAGTTTCAAACATCACACATGCTACAGAAAAACAAATCTGACTTGCCTAAAAATTAAGCGATTGTTTTTCTGCAAACATATCTATTATTAATAATATCCATTATGTTTCTTTGTTATCTATTACTGATAATACATTGCTTAGCACTTTAAAACATCAGTAAGCACTTATTACTTCACAGTTTCTATGGGGCAGGAAGCTGTAGGATGCTGAACTGAGTGGTTCTGGCTCAAAATCTCTTGAGATTGCAATAAAGATGTCTCTTGGGCTGCAGTCACCTGAAGGCTTTACTGGGACTGAAGTGTTTGCATCTAGAGAAGGCTCATTCACAGCTGCAGGCCTCAGTTCTTTAACTTTTAGCAAGGACTCGGCTCCACATCAAATAAACCTCTCCATGGGGCTGCCTGAGTGTCCTTATGACAGGGCAGCCAGTTCTCCCCAGACAGTGTGATCCAAGAGCAAAGCAAGGAGGAAGTCACGATCCTTCTGTGATGTGGTCTCAGAAGTATAACACTCATGCTTCTGCCATATTCTGTTTGTTAGATTCACTAAGTACAGCACACCAATAAAAGGAGTTAGGCTAACTTTTCAATAGAGGAGTACCCAAAATATGTGGACATGTTTCATGTTTTAAAAGCACTATAGTCTACAATCTTACCACATTCCTCTAATGTGTAAGCTAAACCCAGAAAGAGACAGAGAGAGAAAGAGAGAGAGAGAGAGAGAGAGAGAGAGAGAGAGAGAGAGAGAGAGAGAGAGAGAGAGAGAGAGAGAGAGACAAGTCCCAAATCCATAGGGCAGGCTGGCACGTTGTAAACTCAGGCTAAAGTTGATATCACAAGCCAACCAGCAGGCTGGGAGCTCAGGCAGTGTTTCTATACTCGAGACAGGACTCTGTATCCTTCAGGAAACCTCAGTTTTTGCTCTTCAGGCATTCAGTTAATTGGATGAGGTTCAACAACATTATCAAGAGCAATCTCCTGTAATTAACACATTGGGAACCAGTAGTTTTATTGCTAGCTTTACCCAGTAGCCAGGTAAGTTTCTATTGAATGAGTAGAAAAAACGTTTTACATAAATGTTAAAAGCACGCTTTAAAATTAAGTACCCATGGCATTTTGAAGTTATTTATTACATGTTCTTACAAGCTAATACCTTTTTAAAATATGATACTTTGTAACACTGTGTAATATGAAGTGGAACTAAACAAAGTTGGCAAATTCTTGTGATCCATCCACAAAGTTTTACAATAAATTGATTGGAAATATTAATAACATCTACAAATATCCTCACAGTAATACTTAGCCTACTGTTTGACCAAACAGCAGGGTGCCATAACCTAATCAAGTTGATATATAAAGTTATCACACCGTCTCAAATGTCACTCTATGGAGTCTATAAATAAGATGCAATTAATTAATTCAATTCAATCAAGATGCATTTATGTACCTACTCCAGGCAAAGTATTGTGCTAGAAGTTGCTCACAGAACTCAGAGTAACAGTTTGCTGTTACCATATAAAGGATACAGATGAACACCTAGATCAGCGGTTAGCAAACTACGGCTCGTGAGCCACATGCAGCTCTTTGGCCCCTTACATTTTTAGCAAAGGCCAGCTTAGGAGTACCCAAATTAAGTTAATAACAATGTGCCTACCTATATTGTTTAAATTTTAAAAATTTGGCTCTCAAAGGAAATTTCAATCGTTGTACTGTTGCTATTTGGCTCTGTTGAGTTTGCCGACCACTGACCTAGATGAAAGATATTTGCAGGGCAGAGTTTGTGGGGATACAGATCTCCCATGCCTTCGCTGGGCACATCACTCTTCCTGCTCCTCTCTCCACATGTTCACCAACCTGGAAGATCTCTGAACCCAAGCCTTTTGGGTATTTATGGAGCCTCATTACATAGACACGATTGACTAAATCATTGTCCATTGGTAACTGAACTCAATCTCCAGCCCCTCTAACCACCCTAGAAGTCTAGGGTGGAGCTGAAAGTTCCAACCCTTTTCCTTAAGTTACCTAGGGCTTTCTAGAAATCACCTAGGTCCAGCCAATGTGGCTCCGTGATTGTGTTGACCTATGAAGCAGAAGGTCTCGGGTTCAATTCCCTGTCAGGGCACATACCCAGGGTTGTGGGCTCGATCCCCAGTAGGGGATGTGCAGGAGACAGCCGACCAATGATTCTCTCATCATCATTGATGTTTCTATCTCTCTCTATTCCTCTCCCTTCCTCTCTCTGAAACGAATAAAAAAAAAATCACCTAATTAAAAATGATCTAATGATTTAGAAATTCTAAGGGTTTTAGGAGCTCTGTAGCAGAAAGAGGATGAACATTAAATATTTATTTACTATAAATCACAATAACACAGTCTCACTGCCCAAAATTAATTCCGACTCTTGCAGGAAAAAAGCTGATTTTCCTGCCCAGACCCAGGTTTGGTAAAGCCACAGTTCTCACTGGCCACATAGGGGGTGGGAGCAGTCCCAGGCAAGAAAGCCACATACTCCCACCATTTTAACCCAAAGCTTTAGCAATTATTCAAGCATAAACACTCTTATTTTATTTTTCCCAATCACCCTTTATCCCCTCTATGCCCTCTTCTCTCTCTTCAATCCCTGCCCATACCCGCCCCCCCCGTCACCATCACCGACATCACCACACCAAGCATAAACACTCTTGATCTATTTTGTCTTAATTACCTTGCCAGTCAGCTTCCAGAATCTTTAAACTGCTGTTTGTGACAATTTTGTCCAGTTTTATATTTATTTTGTGTGGAGAGAGGAATTGGCCAACCTCTCTCTTCATACTACCATTAACCAGAAGGCTCATATTATATATTGCCTTAGTAATGCATTATCTTCTGAATATATGTAAAAATAATTCAAATTAAATTAAGAAAGATAACTGTTAATGGTCCACACTCTTATGTTTATATTTCCAGTTCGGTGTAATACAGCACTTTAAATTATTTTTAAAAGATCATAATTTAAAATCAGGTACTTTTTTCATTGCAAGTTTCTTGACAGTTCCTGAAACACTCTTGAAGATTTTCCTAGTAAAGAAGGTCTAATGGATTCTGAAAATAACCCAAAGGAGGTATATTTCCATAGATTTGCTAGTTAGTCAACGTTTATACTTTCAGCAAGCTGAAGTTGTTATTTACTAGGATAGAGCTATCATAAACTCACCCCTCTAGGAGAAATTACTTAATTCAACCTATTGACTCATATATTACCTCTCTCTCCTTTCTCAGATTACTCTAGTATATATTTAAAGTTAGTAAAACAAAAACAAAAAAAACCCAAATTATTTCAAGCTAGCTAACTTTTGCTTTTTTCTTCTTTGAAACAGCAGGGGCTCTTCTCATTTTCTCTAAAAGAAAGACATTTTCAGGGATGAAAATATTTTGAAATCATCCAATGAAAGCTGAAAGAAATTGGAAGAAGGATGGGGAGTCTGTTGTCATAATGCAGCTTATAAATATAAATATACTAGTTGCCCAGTTCACAAAATTCATGCATGGGGGTGGGGGAGAGTGGGAAGAGTGTCCCTCAGCCTGGCCTGTACCCTCTCCAATCTGGGACCCCTCAGTGGATAACTGGTAGTCAGACATCCCTCTAACAATACAGAACTGCTGGCTCCTAACCACTGGCCTGCCTGCTTGATTGCCCCTAACTTCTTCTGCCTGCCACCCTGATTATCCCTAACTGCTCCCCTGCTGGCTTGATTGCCCCTAACCACCTCTGCCTGGGCCCCACATTTGGGACATAGGATTCCCTCCTCCAGCCAACCACAGGCACCCGGGATCTGGACTTCCCTCCCTCTGGTCAGCCCGCGGCCAGCTGCAGCCACACGGGATGCAGGGTGAGTGGCTTCTCCATCTCCCAGGTCACAGCCAGCCACAGCGTGGGCGGCTTTTCTGTCTACCAGGCCATAGCCAGCCAGGTGCTGGCGCCTGGACCACAGGCGGGCGGCTTCTCCATCTTCCCTGGGACTCAGTGTGGGTGACTTCTCCGGCTGGCTGCGGCAAGAGATCACCGGGCAGGTGGCTTCTCATCTCCCAGGCTGCAGCCAGCCTTAGGCACTGGGGCTGGTTTCTCTGTCTCCCCCAGGACGTGGAGCAGGTGGATGTGAAGCTTCTGCTGCTGTCTGCGTCCTGGGATCAGGGGGCAGGTGGCCTCCTCATCTCCCAGACTGTAGCCAGCCTCAGGTGCTGGCACCCGACTTCTTGGACCCCCACAGGCCTGGAGCGGCAGTCAGGGGGAGGGCTGCCACCATATTTTCAGGTTAATTTGCATACTTACTTTGATTGGCTGGTAGCATAGCAGAGTGATGGTAATTTGCTCTTTTACTAGAGTAGATATTTCCATTACATGAACATAGTAGTAATTAATCTAACTAAATTCCTTCTAATGAGCACTTAATTTTTTCACTATTATAAACAGTGGATTAAAGAACATTTCTAAGAAGACTCTTAGTATACCAGTGAAAATATATCTCTAACATATATATTTAGAACATCATAGGCTATTAGAATCTTTGTCTTTATTAGATAATTCTGAATTGTGATTGTTCCCATTTATGTGGCATAGCAGCATTAGAGTTTCCTTTTTTCACACTTTTGATGTTGTGAGATTTATTAAAATTTACCATTTTATGGCTATACAAATGAAGTCACACAGTTATTTTAATTAAGATTTCCTTAAATATTAATGAAATTGAGCATCTTTCCAAATGTTTATTGGTCTTTCTTTTAAGGGGACAAAAGAGAGAAGAGAGACAGAGAGACAGACAGGAATGGTGGGAGGAGGGGTAAAGGTATTGAGGGCTCTGTGGTGGTTTTTAATATTGATCCTTCATCACAAATTAACTCAGAAAATAGTAACCACTTACTCGAAGGCCAGAAATCCTCCTCATGGTAACCTGGCGGTTTGAATCATGGTGTCCAGAAAGTTGGTTTGGACCCGGGAACATAAAATCTCGTGTATTTTCATCATATGTAGACAGTGTTTCACCCACTACAAGAAAGATACCCTGTGATTCAAATTTTAACAAAATATTCTATTTAGAAATCAAATTATCAGGTACAATATATAAATGCCTGATGCCTTACTGAACTACCTGCTTCAGGGTCATAGTTTTTTTTTTTTTTTTTCTATGAAAAGAAAATTAAAGTTATGTTCAATAGATTAACACATTTCCTTATTCGGACATGTAGCACATATTACTGATTATCCCTACCTCCTTTTGTAGAAGGGAGAATATTCATCTAAATTTAATGAGTACCTGTGAGTTCCTTAGAAAAAGAAGCTCTGTAAATGTATCAAGTTGCTATGATATTCACAGGTTTGAAATTTAATTACAATCTCTATAAATTTTTCTATCTCCCATTCTTTTCTATCTGTCACTATAAGTTATTAGATTATATATTTAAAAAAACATATAGACATTTTCTGGAATTTGTGATTATCTGAATTAGATATATATTTAATATTCAATTTTTTTAAAATAACTAGTTTTCAATAAATGAAGTTTTCTATTTTTCACATAAATAAGTACTTAATTAAGACAGATTTCTTCTATAACCATATATATCAATAATAGAAAGAAAACTATCCTCCATATTGTAACTCTACCTATTCTAGGGATTTGTAATGTTTGCTAACTAGGTAAGATTTTATTTCCCTCAATTCCCAATAGCAGTCAATAAACAAAAACAGATAACTATCAAAAAAGCATATAGTTTTAGAAAAATCACAAAAACCTGTCAATTTTTATGAAAGTCACAAAATACATTAGAATTATATATATATATATATATATATATATATATATATATATATATATATATATATAATATGTTTTGCTTTCAATCATTACTGCCGATTCAATTTTAGAAAAGTGTGTTCAAATGCCACTTATGTTGATCTTTCCATATGTATTATTTTGGTCTATTGACATTTTGCACATAGTAGAAGAATACTAGAAATTCAACATTGTTCTTAATTTGGGAAGAAGAGGAAAATATGAGATATTTAAAAAGCATTTCATTGAAATGGGTTCACATGTCAATTACCTTATCAAATATAATACAGTACCTGGTGGAACTAGTTGAATCAACTCAAACAATGCTGTATCATCTGAAAGTTGAACAAATTAATAACAAACAAAAGTTAATTACTTTACTATAGAAATATCTAAAAGTCAAAGTAATTGTTGGGTAGACTACGTGTGTGTGTGTGTGTGTGTGTGTGTGTGTGTGTGTACACATATACAGATAGTCCTCGAATTACATGATATTCAACATATGTCATATTGTGGTTATGTCACCACCTCCTATTTATTTATTAAAAAAAAAGTTCCATCATTTTGGCATATGTACATATGTCCTTTATGTTTTTTATTATTTATTTACCACAAGTAAAGGTCAGGAATTGTTATCTTTCTTTTAAATCTTTAATGTGTCACTTCATTACTGCTGTGTATGTGCTCCATGTGAGTGAGGTAGATGCTTATGTAGGTGGTTCAGACTTACAGCGAAAATCACATTATGTAGCACCATAGAACGGATCTCTGACGTAACCCGAGGACCTACTTGTTGATATGTATATTGTTGATATGTTTCTTGTGACTTTACCAATCTATAATATAGATTAACCTTCCACCCTCGGTGGGGTTTTCTTTCTGATTTTTTAAGACTTTATTATTATTTTTTTTAGTGTAGTCTTACTTTAACAACACAATTGAGAAGGAGTTACAGAGATTTCCCATGTATTCCCAGCCCCCACACATGCACAGCCTCCCCATTATCAACATCACTCACGGGAATGTTACATTTTGTTTTTTACCAAAGGGAATATTCAAGAAGATAATGTCTAAAAATGTATGCAAAGAAATTTATCAAGATACAAACACAAAGCAGAATATATTTTAAAATGCACACACACACACACACACACACATACACACACATACACACACACACACACACAGTTGGACACATCAAAATAAAGCTATAGGAAAAGAAAGACATGAGCTATTAAAAGGAACCATTGGAAAAATGACAGAATATCTGTGAGAAATAAATAATAAAATTGATAATTTCACAATAGAAACTAAGGAAACAAAAAGACAATGGAATGGTATTTTCTAAAGTCTGGAAGACAATAATCCCAATATTTAGAAAAATATCCTTTTGTTAAAGAGATGAAATACACTGTTAAAATAAATAAAAATCTGGATGCTCTATGACCAAAAGACAAATTAGAGAGTAATTAGAAAGATTATTCTTCAGTCCTAGTTGGGTATCTCTACTAGTTAGAGCATTGTCTTAAGATGCCAAGGATGAAGGTTTAATCCTCAGGCACACACCAGAATCAACTAATGAATTCATAAATAAATGGAACAACAAATCCGTATCTATCTAGCTACCTACCTATATATCTTTTTGCACATTATTTCTCCCCTCTCTATGTTGCAGCCATGAGGGCCTCACAGCCATTTTGAACTATAATCAGGCTCCAAGTGCAAGCCGGAGTACTGGATATGGTAACATGGCACCATGGAAGAACAACCAGGAGCAGAGGCTAAGCTAGCTGGATAAGGGCAGAGACTGCAGTGAACTGAACTGAACCAATGGCACAGAATTTATGGACCCTGACCTTTCCTATGGCCTCAATGAAGACAGGGCTAGACTTCGTCACAGCAGGACAGAGCTGACCCTGGGCAGTGCTTTGTGTTTGCTCCAGCTTTAATAAACCTTGCTAGTACCCCACATCCTCCCATGCATGGTCTCCGAAACGCTTTTCTCCCAACATCACAAAGACCCCATTTCCACTGGCAACAAAAATACTCTATACCTTCTGAATCTACCAGGGACACAATGATTAACTGCCAAACGAAGTGAATTAATGAAATAAATAGTGTAGGTTATATTGTTACTGAAACATCTCGGCTGTAAAGAAAAGGCCCGAAAAGTAATTGAGTTTGTTCAGTTTACATTTTATCATAAGAACACAGATTAACTTCTGAGAAAAACTATTTCCTAGTTTCTATAAAAAAACATTTTATTCCTTTGATTTAAAAACTATATTTTGGCAAAAATACTTTAGGAAGACCTTAAATTATTGAAGGGAAAAAAATAATGCTGCTGAAAACCAACCCTAAATTAATGTAAATTACATCTACTGGAACATGTAATGCAATTAACCTCATAGTTGCCCTTCATCTTGTAACTAAGAAATGTCAATTTTTCTCCTTCCTCTGTAGAACTTTCATTTTCATGTACTTTCAGTATGAGTTAAAAGTAAATTCACTGCAATAATCCAGAAATCCTAGTCACATGGAGTGAACCTAAAGCTTCAGGAAATACCTTGAGAGAATGCCAGAAGGCTGTTAACCTTCTGTGTCAGCAAGAACAATAATAATTTTTTCTAAACACCGATTTACCTGCCCAAACTACAGAGGTGAAGATAAATTGGTTTGAGTGCACTTGCCATTGTGAATTTAAAATATGTATACAAAGTCCTACAAGTTCTCCTGAGGATCCAAGCAAGCATTTATTCTCCACCTGAGAACATTTTAAATATTCCAAACACCAGGTAGGTACCCATTCCCAGAAGCTGAAAAGCAGGGGCTCTAATGAAACCAACATTTTCTCCTACAGGCAAGAAAAACTACTAGGGACACCTAGTAATCTACTGCAATATAAATAAAGATCATATCTCCTTTTTATCCAAATGTTGAAAGAAATGAAGCCAGAGCAGCTATTATATTATAAATTTTGAAATACAAAATATATTTCCTAACCAAAGAATTATGACACTATAAATGGTATCTCTCAATAGGATAGTTCAAACACTCATAAAAATAATAGTGAGAGGCAGTTAATTATGAATTTTATTTAACTCTCTGGATATCAAATATCTAGCATGTACCATGCACTGCCATATACACTAGAAATATAGCAAACAAAACAGGAAATTTTTCTGGTCTTATAAAACTGTCATTATAAAGAAAGAGAAAATAAAAAATAAATAACATAGCAGTAAGAAGAAATACAGGAGTAACACTCTTCACTATTTGCCCTGAGCAGTACCCTTTTATACCTATTGTTTTGGTGGAAATTTTAAAAGCATGCTATTTTGTCAAAACCGGTTTGGCTCAGTGGATAGAGCGTCGGCCTGCAGACTGAAAGGTCCCACGTTCGATTCTGGTCAAGGGCATGTACATTGGTTGTGGGCACATCCCCAGTGGGGGGTATGTGCAGGAGGTAGCTGGTCGATGATTCTCTCTCATTGACGTTTCTAACTCTCTATTCCTCTCCCTTCCTCTCTGTAAAAAGTCAATAAAATATATATTAAAAATGAAATAAAAAATAAAAGCATGCTATTTTACTTGCAAAATATCCTGGTGTAGAAAATAGGAACACCCTAAAGATAATGAATGAGATGGAGACTGAGATATTGACAAAAAGGTGATGCTATTTTAGATACACTGGTGAGAAAAAGCCTTCTTTTATGATAATAATTAGAGCAGTGACTGGAAAGAAGTGAGGGAGCAAGCATTATGTTTATCATATGAACAGCTTTTTAGGGAGTGTATTTGTAGAAGTATACCGTGTGTGTGTGTGTGTGTGTGTGTGTGTGTGTGTGTGTGTGTGTGTGTAGAACAGAATCTAAACCTTCAGTGAGAAAGGATGAAAATCCAGTTTCAACAAATATGTAGAAACTTTTTATTCTCTTTCTTGCCTAAAAAATGGTTCTCATAAAAAATAACAAAAAAAAAGAAAAAAAATGGTTTCCAGTGTATAGTTTTAGCTATAACTAATTTTATTCTGATAAATTCCAGGATTAAAACCATCTCCTTAAAGAGAAAGCCTCTCTAAGAATGTAAAATATCCCTATTATGTATTTAATAGCATTAGCACTTAATATCATTTTCTATATCATAAACATATACTTCCCTTGTATCTTAGGTGATTCTGGGCCTCTGGATTTTCCTTATAGGTGTTAAATGGAACTGGTAAGTACTCCAATAATGACGATAATAATAATAACATACCTCTGCTAATAAGGTACAATTTTAAGTGTTTACTGTATGCCAAGAACTGTTGTAAGTGCTTTATCTGAGACCTCAGATAAAGACTATTTACCAAACTGTCCAATTAAGAGGACACTGGAATCTCCTTGAGCATTTTGGACCACACTCAACTTGCTTTCAGGTAACATATTTAATAACATAATTAATGGATTTTGAATTTCGGACAAACAGACACACACACATTAGTTTTATATGTTACATAATGGGAAATGATATATGTGACTCATAATTCCTGTAGAGAATAAGTGGAAATTCTGTTTCTGTCCTATTTGCTTGTTTTAGTTTTTTAGATTCAATTATTGATAAATATTTTTATAACAGAAAAATTTCAGGATAACAAAATAATTATCTCTTTACTTTCTAAGATACACAATTTCCCAGATACTGAGTAAAATGTTTAGGATATATTAAAAGTCATATACCCACTGGCACTAAATTTCCACCTAGCTAGTCTGTCACAGTGAAAAACAAAATACCTAGTGATAGAACAGCTATTAAAAAAAAAAATAAGATTCAGGTTGTGAATTCTCTGGAGAAGAGTCACTAAACTAGAAATTCCCTGAATGTAGGGCAATGAGCTCCCCTGATCCCTCTGTATACGCCCAGATTCTAGCATGGTTCTACGTTCCATGTTTCTACACTGCCAGAGTCCCAGTGGGGTATGGATGGGAGAAAATGTGGAGGAGATGACTGACACTAATGATACCCAATATTTTTTACCTTTTTATCCACCGGTCCATATTAGACCACAGTTCCATACTATACCACAGTTCCATACTAGACCACAGTTCCATATTAGACCCATCTGGTGATCTCTAATCCATTTCTAGCTATAGAAATAAACAACAGAGCTTTTCATTTTATACCTAGAGCTCAAATAACTTATCCCCATGTGTATACCTTTGCATTGCTGCTCTCACAAATAGTTATACCATTTTACAGTTGATTCCTGGTACTTTGAAGAATTTACTGTTATCCACAGCCTTAAAAATGTCTCTTTCAAATAATTTATTAACTTTAAATGTAATTCAAAATGTAAAACATATGTATTTTATTTTTTTATTATTGATTTCAGAGAGGAAGGAGAGGGAGAGAGATAGAAACATCAATGATGAGAGAGAATCATTGATTGGCTGCCTCCTGCATGTCCCCATTGGGGATCAGGCCCACAACCCAGGCATGTGCCCTTGGCTGGAATTGAACCTGAGACCCTTCAATCCGAAGGCTGATGCTCTATCCACTGAGCCAAACCAGCGAGGGCAGAACATATGTATTTTAAACTATCATTACATCAATTTTCCATTATTTACTCTTTTGATTTGCAATACACTGAGAGTAAAGATATATTTTTGTCTTCAGGGAAAAGCTCTACCTAAAATGAATCTCTGTTCTTACATCATAAATAATCTGCAATATCTTAAAATAGTTCTCAAGAAGTGTTCTTTTTAATCTTTATTGTTGAAAATATTACATATTTTCCTTTTATTCCCTAATTGACTTCTTCTAGCATGCCCCCACCACTCCACTGAGGCCTTCACCATCCTATTGTCTGTGTTCAAGGGTTATGGGGTTATGCATATGTGCATATAAGTTCTTTGGTTGATCTCTTCCTACCCACTGTTTTTGTTTTCTACAGATCAACCACAAGAGGGGGGGGGGGGGAATCCCAGCCTCTCTGTAGCACATGTGGGTTTTTTTTTTAAATTATTATTTCCAGGTATATTCTGAAATTTAAAAAAAAATGCTCAAAATTTTAAAAATTCTTATTAAACCCTTTTTAACTTTTATCCAATTCAGGATTAAAGAGCATGATTCTAAAATGTCTTAGAACCAATATTTAAAAATTAAACTTACATTCAAGTTGTGCAACCACATCTCCAGGGTCTACTGCTTCAGGGAACACCTAGAATAGAGAATGGAGAGGAAACAGGGTGGAAAAAAGGACGTGAAGGCACATATCTATAACTTATTCCCTCCCATGCCCAACATATTCCTTTCCCAACTAAAAACAAAAAACAAAAACAACAAACAAAAAAACTTTTCACATTACAGAGAACTATCACTTCCTTTCTGCTTCCATGATCACTGTGGAAGATTTCACAAACATTACTGCTGCCTCTGCCAACCTCTCACACTTCATCTGCTAGCATTCTTCTCTTTCTTTTGTTACCGTGATCATATTGGCCTTTTTGGTGTTCCTCCAACTTATCAAGATAATTTCCAACAGGAAGCCTTTATATTTGCTACTAAAGGCCCAATGCACAAGATTTGGGCACAGGTAGGGTCCCTAGGCTTGCTGGCAATCAGGGCCAATCTGTGGGGCAATTGGTGGGGTAATCTGAGAACCTGCTGGCACCCACCTTTGCCAGCCTGGCGTTGCTTGCTCACCATCCCCGATCTCCTGCTGCTGCTGCTGCCACTGGTCACCTCTCTCTGAAGGGCAACCAGCTATGTGATAAAGGGGTCCCCCACTCGCACCTGCCTTAGCTTGCCTGGGGCCTATGGGCTAGGGCAGCTCCTGCCTTGAGTGTCTGCCCCCTGGTGGTCAGTGTGAATCAACCAGTTGTTTTACCGGTCATTCTGCTGTTTGGCTGATTTGCATATTAGGCTTTTATTTTATAGGATTCCTCTGCCTAGAATGTTTTTCCTTACCTAGACCTTCAAACAACTGATACTGTCCCATAACTGAGGCTCAGCTTAAATATAATTGCCTTCTGTGACCAGTTTAAAGTAGATAATTCCCTTAAACCCTCAATCTTTATTCTTTTCATGACACTTATCACTATCTAAAATTACATTATTTATGTGTTTACTTAATTTTGTCTATTTCTCCTATTAAGCTAAAACTCCGAGAGGGGGAAGATGTTGTCTACCCAGCGCTTTAAAAAGTGCATGCAACAGAGCAGGTACTGGGTAATTATTTGTGAAGAAAAGGAAAAAGGAAAAAAGGGAAGGGAATGGAAGGAAAGAGAGGGGAGGGGAGAGAAAAGGAGGGGAAGGGAGGGTGGAAGGGAAGGAAGAACAGAAAGAGAGAAATAGAGAAATAAATAAATTTTTAAAATGCGAAATATGATTGATAATAAAGCAGCAGTTTTGGGAGAAGGAAGAAATGAGACTTTTAGAAGGAAGTATCACAAGACAGCCATAATAAAATATGATCTGTTCTTACCATCTCCTTTCTCTTTTTTATAAAAATGATTATTTTAAAATGATTATTTTGAATGCTATACTTATCACTACGATAATTTTAGAAATGAACTGATCCATTAGGAAAAAGAGGTAATTGATTCCATGTATAATATAATACATATTTATTTTCAAGCCTCCAAATTCATGTGACAAATCTTCCTTTGAATTAAATCAAAGTACATGGTAGCAACAATAGTTTGGGTTCTGGGATTTTATTCAAAGTGTGGAACTACTTTCACTTTTTGTTCATTCATTTTGATCTGAGATTTGAACTCACCTTTTCAAACACCATTCTGGCATTGAAGACCAATGGAAAAGTGGCTGGGACACATTGTGTCTTTTTATATTGGCCAAACACACAGATGCTAAGATAGATATCCTCCTTGTCTTTCAGCACTACTCCTGGACAAGTTACCTGAAAGAAATTAGGTAGATGCATGTAACTGCTTTATAAATTTTCTGATCTGCCCTACCTAAATGACTTACAAAACATTACATAAAAACACTAGCCTGCTAAGCTAATAAAAATGCACAAATAAAAAGATGGAGATTCTAAGTATTGACAGAGTTAAAGGAAATGCCTTTATAATTTCCATTCCTCTGAGAAATCTATGATTTTCCATTTGGTTATCTGTGCCATATTTGAAGTTTTATGCAGTAATCCTTAGGACACACTAATAATTCTAAACAGTCAGCCTTAGGAGCTCACTCTATGCTGACTGCTGACATAAACTTATTCAGCATCATTTAATCACAAGGATTAAGAATCAGCAGAAATAAAGCTCTATCCTATTGAAAACGCACACACAAAACACCATTAAAAAGCACAAAGTTGACTTGTCTTACCCTAAATAGCAGCTGATATACACCCTCATCAAAAGCAATATGACCAAGTATCAAAGCAAGGAAATTGTTCATTTATAGTCCAATAAAATGTTTTTAAATATAAAATTGCACTTAATTATCCTTGTGGTTGACCGTATAGGCACAAAATGTGGGGTTTCTAACAAATCCAGTGTGATCTCTGCAGTCCCTACCTTGTGGCAGTGGCAGTGATCACACATGCTCTGAGGATCCTAAAGTCTCTCTAAAATTTGAATCTAACCTACCCACATAGTACTGTTATCAACACCCCCTCATAATAGGATCAATGTGTGTGTTTATTCTCTAAACATTAGAGAATAAACACACACATTGCTTTCTTGCCTCACCTTCTTCCATTATCTGGATTATTATTCCTTACTACTTCATCCCATCTCCTAATTTACTCCAAGGCTTGCACCAACTATCATTTCTTACAAAAAGAGAAACTTCTCTTGATTCACAAGTTAACATTATTCATTCAATCTAATTCTGATATTATTAATTTACTATATGCAAGTAAATGTTTTAGATTTAGCATTTTGTAGTGCTCATAAGGTCCTAATTATTGTCACCAGGTATTTTAATTTAATAGGTACATCTCACTTCTTTTATTTGACTATACATCCCCTGAAGACAGAAATTTTATTTTGCTCATCAATGTGTCTAAAAACACCAACTTTCATTATTAAGAAGAAGCTCAAAGATTGTTTGGCTTTTGATATTTTATATATTGTGAGAATGAAAAAGTCATATTTTCTGTCAAAGAACAGTTTAGACAGTGGCCATTTTGGACTGTGTGACTTGGCAGCTCCTCTGGGGGCCGCCATCTTGAAATGGCAAAGGCCAACCTCTCCTTTGAATTAGCCAATCGTAAAAAACTGTGCACCTGAGCTCCAATCAAGAGTTAGAGATAGGTCACATGGGTCAAGATGTAAAAGCCCAGCAGGAAGCCTGTTCAGTGTGCGTGTGCTCCCAGACCATGTGCGTGTGCACCCTTCTGCACAGAAGTAAAGATATTTGCCTTGCTGCCTGGCTCCCGAGTATGTTTTGTTTTCTATCAGGACCCTTGAGTTTGGGGGCTCGCTTTATTTCTTACATATATGAAAACAAAAAAAGCCCTAAGAAAGAACAGGTGAATTACTTAAAAATCACACAGTAAAGGAATCAACACAATACATTCAAAGTTCTTAGCATAGTACCTGACAGCATTTATTCAGTAATAACTACCATTATTAGACTGACAACCATTACCTGCAATATTAATAGACTACTGCATTTAATAAATAACTAAGACTTCATGCCCCTTGTACACAGCAGTATACAAACTTAAAAAAGTACAAAGATAATTTGTAATAAAACATATATTTCTCTACATGTAAATGATCTGGCTCAAAGATATGATATTGCAGCTGTGGGCCCTGGGAGGAAGGGGGAAGAGTGCAGAAGTACCTACCATGAATGAGCTAACTGGTTCCAATTGAAAATCAAATAAAATCAAATAAAGAACAGAACCCACTAGCCATTTCTAAAAAGAGGCCTCTCACATAAGTGGCACTTTGGAGAGAAGCTTGCATTGAACTGCAGCCTGCAATGTGTTCCTACAGTCTGAGCCAGCCCTTACAAAGGAGTTCCTGGAGTTGTAGTTCAACCAATAGGACTGAGATTTCACCACCCAATCAGAGCATCTTTATCCATCAATCAGAGCAGCTCCATTCTGACCAATCCGGACAGCACATTTTGGAGCAATCAAAACATGAGGATTTGCAGTCCTTATATGCATGAGGACTGACCACTCAGGGACTGGGGTGGGGATTTCTCTATATAAGTCGCCTTACCTCTGGCTTAGAAAGCACACGAAAGCACACTTTCCCTTTCCTCAAAGATGGAAGACTTCATTTTTCCCATGTCTCCAGAGCAGAGTGGAAAGAGCAAAGCAGGATGAAGCTGTTTAGCAGGAGAGGGGCCATACCTGAGTTCACCTCGCCCTAGACCACCTCACAGCCATGCAGTTCCACTGTTGTGCTGTTTCATTTTGAGCTATAATATCATTGAGCTGTTTCACATGGACACCAGTTGATATGTACAAATATACTCACTACAGCACTATAATATTAAAAATTCCAAAAGCAATGACATTTAAAAGTTCAACAGAGAAAATAAAAAATAAATCACTCGTATAAGCATACAGCATTACATAGCAATTAAGGAAATGGGCTGGATCTGCAAGAAACAACACACAAATTTCAAAAACAGTGAAGTGCAAAAAACAGATTTGTAGGAGGATACATACTGTATGATTTGATTTGTGTAAAATTTTGAACAAAACAATAGTGTAGGTAATACTTAGACATACACAAATATGTAGTAAAAATACAAAAACCTGAATGAAAAGAATATACTCCTACTTCAGGATACTGATTACCTTAAATCTAGCAAAACAAGATCTGGAAGAGGTGCAAAGAGGCCTTAAATAGATCTGTAACATTGTATGCCTTTAAAACAAAGATCTGCATCAAACATGTAAAGCATTCTACTACTTGTTAAATTGGTGTGTGGGAGGCAGGGGAAGCAGGGTGGGGGTTAGGGGGAGAATCACATTATCCATGGGGTTTTTTCCCTGTAAATTTGAAGTATTTTATAAAGCATTTTTTAAAGTCTATATATTGCAGGTAAATTTACCACCAACTGCAGGGAAACTGAGATACCACACCACAGAAACGTGGACAAGGGCCACGTTCAGCTTAGTAGTGACTGAAAAGTACCCAGATCTGTTTGCCCCAGTGCTATCAATAATTTGAGTGAGGTAATGGGGTGAAGTGAGTATAGAGAAGGAAAAGTTGGAATTATACAGATAAACTAACCCCAAACTTGCACTATTCAGGAAAAGCAAATTAGTCTGCTTCATTGCCCAGGCATTGGGCTTTACACTTATATCTCCAATTTTTTTTTCCATTTTTCCCAAATAATGTCATGAAAACTGAGCTAGTGAATAATAAAACATCTGTACCAAGAAAACAAACAATAAAACATCTATACCAAGAAAAAATATTTTTCACGGTACAGATGTTTCAAATATTAAAAGTGTGATGGGAAATATTATTTTGCTGCTCTTTAAAAACAAGTTACTTGGCATATCATATCATTCTCTAGACTCATTGAGAAAAGTCACACTTGATTCCTAGCAATATATTTTCTCTCAAGTCATATGGCTCTGTTGAGCAATGCAAAACGTCGAGATTACCACTAATATAAAACTGCAGTAAAAATAAACATGGAGCGGGTAAGGGGAGAGAAGAATGGAGTGCCATACATTCAACAGGCAAGGAGAGATAAGACATCTAATATCTCGTTTATAAGAACTGGGGAGCAAATTAAATGTCACTACAAAAAATTTAAACAATAACACAACATAGACTATTCTATATCTGAACCCCATCTCTTCAAAAGGTAATGTGCACAAAAAGATTTTTACAAGAATGATTGTTTATAGTACCTTTACCCCAGGCAACCACAACCTGTTAACAATCCAAATAATCATCAATACAGAGAACAGATAGCATATTATGATATGTGCATACAACAGAATACTACTCCACAATCTAAAGGAACAAACCACTGATAAACACAGCAACAACAAACACGGATGAATCTTAAGAATATGCTGATCAAAAGAAGCCACAAAATATGACTCACTACAGTGGCCCAATTGAATATGAAGTTCAAGTACTAATAAACTATAGAGACAAATCAGAATATTAGTTCTCTCTGCATGGAGTTTAAAGGGGCATTAGGGAACTTTCTGGGGTGATGGAGGTGTTTTAAATCTTGATGTGAGTAATGGTTACATGCATATGAATTTATCAAAATTCATTGGGGAGGGAGTCTAGATAGGGGAGAAAGGAAATGTCAAGGTAATGAAAAAGTAGGACTGCTTTATATTAAAATGGATTAAAAATACTTAATAAGGAAATGCAACATGTAAACTTTGATTGGACCCTGGTATGAAAAAATTAACTACACAATTCATTTTTGAGACAACCTGGAAACTTGAATATGGCCTAGATATTTAAAAAAATCATCACTAAGTTCTTAGGTGTATGGTAATGGTCTTGTGGTTATTTTTAAAATAAATTTCCTTATCTTTAGAAGATGTATACTGAAGTATTTAGAAGTGAAATGTCATGGTATTGATAATTTACTTGAAATTTTTCAGCAAAATATATTTATTATATATACACATATATAGTATGTGCAAATAAATTAATGGACATATGTCATGGGATATACTTATTCACTATTCTTCCAACTATTCTGTATGTTTATTTAAAATGTCAATAAAAAGTTGAGAAAAAAATGCCATCTTTTATAGTTGTAGAGTGATCCTCAGGATTTAATAAGTAAAAAAAAAAAAGAAGTGCAGAATAGCTTATGTATCATATTACCTATTTTTCAAAAAATGAAACTAGAAAGAACATGGATTGGGTTATTGTACAGGTATATATATCTACTTGACTCTATTACAAAAAGGAATACTAGAATAATAAATAAAAAACAAATAAAAATGGTTATCAATAGCAGATGAGTAAAGATGGGAAATGGGTTTGAATAGGGCTGGCATCAAGACTTCTCTAAGAATATCATTTCATGCCTTATATATAAATGCAAAAATTAAATTAAATTAAAAAGAAACATCTAAATAGAAAAGATGCAATAATTCCTCTATTCAATCAAAGCCAAGTTAATCAAAAGTGTTACATTTGTATGGTTATTAATGGCCTTTTTTTTTTTTTTTTTTTTTTTTTTTTGCTCCTTCTGAGCATCAGAGCCACTTAACAACAGGGCTTGTACTGGTCAGAAAACTTAACATATTGTTGCAGATGTGCCCCTTAAAAGCTGTGCAACTCTAGAAAAATAATCATGCTTTGCCTCAATGATTTTCTCTCCTGTAAAAAGAAATAAATCCAATGATAGCTAAGATTTCTTAAAAATGTAAAATCCTGTGACTCAAAAGTTTGATGGGAAAAAAAATTTAACAGGAATGTTTCCACCTTCATAATCTCTTTAGCCTCCATGAACAACAAAGTTCCATTTCACAGTCACTCACTTTGTGTAGTGCAACCAATACTGAGGAGGAAGAATAGTGAACTAACATTTGTTTCTCAGACTTCTCCAGGAGTAATCAGTTACAGCACAACCAAGCACTTCCTCTTAGAAAGTCTGTATTAGCCAAGGCAGGGAAGCAGAGCCAGCCAGCCAGTCAGGCCCGGCCTCTCATCAGGCTGCAAAACCCCATTGGTTTAGCAAGCAGAAGCAGCAGCCAGTCATATAGCCTGTAGAGTTTTGCTAACTGCCCTGAAAGAGTGGTGTAGGAAACTTTGTGTATTCTTTTGCTGAACTAATCTCACTTTACAAAACATTTGCCAAAGATTGGCAGCTCTGGGAACGAAAGCATGTGAGGCGAGGGCTATGGAATTTCCCAATGCAGCAGAGCGAAAAATCTCTGCTGGCTTCAAGGCAAACGGAGAGAGCCAGAAACCGATCTCCTCCACCCCTTCCTTACCAGCTGCCCCACCCAGCCTCCCTTCTTTAAGACCTAACAAAAGACCCAAAACAGTCCCGTGACTTCCCAGGAGGTTTCTGGGACTAGGCTGCAGCAGCCTCAGGCGGGACTGCCAGGACAGGGTGGGTGCTGCCGGGATTGGATTAAGTGGAAAGAGAAGCCTTGCAAGCAGGGTGTGCAGGAAGAGAGAGGGTTGCACAGTGCAGCACCCCAGGGAAGGATGTTGCACATTAAAATGCCCTCCTCACCCACTTCAGTTTTGATGAGAGCAAAGAGTGATTTGAGAGATAAGAAGACTCAAAGAGGTGGGAGGAGAGAAAAGAAACCGAAAGAGGCATGTTTGGTTCCAAACTGCCTGGAGGTCTCAAACTGGGGCATGGAAAAGCTCTTTGGAGAGGGGCAGCTCTCATCTGAAGAGAATGAGGGGGTTCCCTAAAGAGAATGGGGAAGGGAGTTTTCTCATGGCACGGAGAGGTCCAAGCCCCGCGCTAGAGGGAGGACCCGGCTGGATTTGCACAGCAGGTTGAGGGGATGGAGTCCATTCGGCAAAGCTGGAGGAACTGCGTGGACTTGCAGGTCCTCCGGAAGGCATTCAGGGAAAGGTAGTTTTCTCTCTATAGGTCTTTCTTGGAGTAACGGGAAGGAGTAAAGGCTGCCTCTGAATGCCCGGAAGGTCTGGGGATTGGAGGGGCCTGCAATGATCTCTGAGGGGCTTGGCTCCGGGAGGGAAGAGGATGCTGTGGCAAGGTGCTTTGTAAAAGGATGGCATACTTCAGTGGTTGGGTGTAGGGGTTCGACTTTGAATACTGAGAATAAAAGGCCCCTAATGAGAAGGGTGGAAATTGGAAAAAGTCCGTCTGAAGTGATTTGGGAAGAAATGCTCACTCTACTACCCCCCCTACCCTCCTCACAACTCCCAGAAAGGAGGGAAGCAAGCTGGGTCAATAACACTCTAGAACAGGAGCAGAAAAAGAGAAGCCTGCCCCCCAAACAACTCACTGGAAAGTTGAGCTGGGGGGGGGGGGGATAATTGAAATGATTGGAAGAAACTGCAAGTGGAAATTGGGATGAAGCAAGGAGTGCTGAGGGGGGCCAGGCTCTGTGACAGGAGTGGGAGGGCGCTCAGAGGTTTGAGGTGGGAAGACGGAGGTGGCCAGAGGTCTAGGCTACCTAAGGATGGCTCGGAGAGTGAAGGGGGTTTGGGTGACTCGGGGTTCTCGGAGTTGAACGGTGTAAACTCCGGGCGCCGGGGGGTAGGTCACCGGTACTCACGGAGCGGATCTCTAGCGCCAGTGCGCATTGCAGCGCCTTCACCTTCGGCATCCGCGCGGGGAGGGGCGGCGGGGAGGGACCCCGGCCGCGGGCCCGAGTGAGGCGAGGAGACGCCGGGCGGGACGGGGACGGGGAGGAGACGAAGGCGGCGGTGGCAGCTGTGGCCCCCAGGCCGGGGCCCGCGGTCCAGCCTGGGTCCCGCCCGAGAAGCAGCGGTGCGCGGGGCGCAGACCCGTTGTCATGGCATCCGGGGGGCGTAGCCGGGGCGGAGGGGCGTGGCCGGGCAGCGGGGCGGGGACGCGCCGGAGCCTCCACGCTGGGGCGGGCGGCTGGGGGCGGGGCTCGGCGGGGCCGGAGTGGGCGGGGACGCGCGAGGGGGCGGGGCTTCAGAGGGGCATGGTGAGGTCGGGTCACCTTCTGTGACGTCAAACTGTGAGCCCAGAACCGGACAAAGGAGAGAATAAGTGTGGCATGGGACAGGAAGACAGTTGGACTCCCGAGTCCCGAGTTCTAACGTGGGGAAGCACCGTGGGCTAGGGGCGTCCCCCAACGGCATCCCTTTCCCCAAGTGTAAAGGATAACTATTCGTTCTCTTTTGAATTTTCACTATCCAGTTTACAAAGACGTCTTGAGGAAACAGGATGAGAAGAGACTCGCCCAAGGCAGAATCACAGTTTTAACCTCTCACATTTGATGTTGAATCCGGTCAAAACTCAATCTTTGTACATGATGTTAGATAGGAATCTGGGATTCTGATTTGTTTTACCTCTGCGGAGTGAGCTAGATTTCCCAGCAATGTCTCCTCAACTTTCTAAACTTCCCCTTATTGCTTTGTGGCACCACCTGTGTCATATAGGAATTACCTCAAGTGCTGTCTTCAAGTTTCCTATTCTGTTCCAGCCTCCTGTCTGTTGTTCTTGCAACAGTATCACACTGCTTTATTACTATGACTTCTTAATATCCTATGTGGCAAGTCTCTCTCTCTCTTTTTTTAATGAGATTGATTTAGCTATTTGTGATCCTTTATTGCTTCATTTTATTGTAGAGTACCTTCCTCAGGTCCCACAAGCAGTCCAGCTAGAATTTTTATTATGATGCATTAAATTTATGGACTAATTTGGGAAATTGACATCTTTAGGAATATTACATCATCCTATCCAAGAATATAAAATGTTTGTCCATTTATTAGCTCATATTCTATGCTGTTTACTAGAGGTTTCAAGTTTCTTGCATAAAGAGGCTACTTAATTCCTAGGTATTTATAATTTTTCTTTTTTTAAATATATTTTATTGATTTTTTACAGAGAGGAAGGGAGAGGGATAGAGAGTTAGAAACATAGATGAGAGAGAAACATTGATCAGCTGCCTTCTGCAGACTCCCTACTGGGGATATGCCCCCAACCAAAGTAAATGCCCTTGACCGGAATCAAATATGAGACCTTTCAGTCTGCAGGCCATTGCTCTATCCACTGAGCCAAACCGGTTTTGGCAGTTTCTTTTTTTATTATTATTATTATTATTATTATTATTATTATATTTACTAGTTTGTTATTGCAACTGAATAATGTTTAGTAGGCAGTTTAATTACTGGATGATTACTTTAAACTTGTGCATATATGTATAAATCCCAAGATGTTTTAAAAATATATATATATTCTGATTGATTTCATTGAGGAAGAGAATTATTGATTGAGTGCCTCCTGCATGCCCTCTACCAGGTTCAAGCCCACAACCTGGGCATATGCTCTGACTCAGAATGGAACTATGACCTCCTAGTTCATAAGTTGGTGTTCCACCACTGAGCCACCACCCAAGATGTTTTTAAAGCCCCTCTAACTTGATAGGACTCAACTTCCGAAGTCTGTTTCCCCTGTAGGTTATGCTTGGTTATAGACTTTGTTAAGGCAAGTCTAATACAGATCTTAGTATAGGGCATGGTTCTTTCTGGTTAGGTGTAGCCCTTCTGCTAAACCGCTTGGAATCTAGGAGTATTAACAAAGTGTTAAAAAGTACATCTCCACAATGGAAGGTTCACAGCTTCAATGTTCTTCAGCAGCCTTGATCTCAAGAAATTTCATTCTGTTCTCAACCCTGTAGCAGATGCTAACTGGAAAGCCTCAGGTGGTCTCACCCTGTGTTAATAAAGTTCATCCCTCAGCCTTGAACTTTTGGGGAAACCCCTCATAGGTTTCTGGACTCCTCTGCATAGCTCCTGTCCTAGTCAGTTTGGGTGGCTACTGTGCCAGAATAGCATTGACAGGTAGCTTATAGACACAGAAATAAATTTCTCACATTTCTAGAGGCTAGTAGTCGGGATCAGGGTAATAGCATGTTGGGTTCTGATGAGCGCCCTCTTCTGGGCTTGAATGGCCATTTTTCCTTTGTGTCTTCATGTGGAGAAGTGGACAAGGGAACTCTTGGGGTCTATTTTATAAAAGCACATCCCATTTGTGAGGGCTCCATCCTAATGACCTAATTACCTCTCAAATATCATCACAGTGGAGATTAGGATTTCAATATATGAATTCAGGGAGCACATTTGATCCATAGCAAACAATTTGAAGATGTTCCTTCTGTCATAGCCTTCAAGTTCCCACGTCATACTAAAATTCAGCTGCCGATTTCCAAGCCCAGAAATAGAATTTGGGTAAAAACTCTAACATGCAAGAGTAGCAGCACTGTGAATGGCACCATTATAATTAATGATATCTCAGGAAGCTTTATCATCACAGGTAGCACATAAGACAGAAATAGTACTGCTTCTGCACTTCCCCTCCTTTTATCCTCTATAAAATTTTATGGGACATGAGTCTAATAAAAAATGTAAGCTCTTAATCTTTCTCAGAAATCCTACCTCATTTGATGAATATTTTAAAGGAATAAATTAGAGATTTTTTAAATTTTTTTTCCTGCTTTTATATAGTCTACTTTGCATTTTTGAAGTGAGGATGGGAACTCAGACTCTACCAGTCAGCTGGTCAGAGGCCTTTCTAAAGACCTCTGCTCTTTCTCATGAATGTTCAATCTCCATAAAATAATTGATTTCTGACTGTCAGTACCTTCATTTGTTTTAAGGCAATTAACATAACCATCGCATTCAGTGATGGTGCATTATATATCAGGGGTTATATAATGTACTTTATATACATAATTATATACCTCACACATCTCTAAAAGGTAAATAGTTATATCCCCATTTAACAAGTGAAGAAGCGGTCTTGGAGGAAATGAACTTGCCCAGCTCTCAGAGCACCTGGCACAGCAGGAATGTGAACCAAGCCTGCCCTACTCCAAAGGCGGCCTTCTTTCCACTATAAAGTTCTTCCTCTCATTATTTGTTCTTTAAATAACATCACTCACAAAACATACTAATGAATTTAAGATACAATGCAATCAAATAATCATAATGACAACAGTAATTATTATAGTAATAGATATATATCATATGTCATTATGATCTTACATTTGAATAGAAATTTGTTTCTGAAAACATGTTTCTGCACTTAATTTGATTATCAGATTGATTCTGCATATTTTAAAGTAGAACTATTTCTAAACCTCTACCACTAGACTGTAGAAAGGTGTGAAAGGTTTAAGAAGAGCAAGACTTGTAAAATTTCTGATATAGTTTGGCATGAAAAGATATTGTAAGAGTTTTCTTATATAGAACAACATAAATTGTACCCCTTGGAGGAAAACATTGTTTGGCTTAAAATGTATTATGCAACTATAATAATAAATACACAGGAGAATGTTTTGTTTTATTAATATTATCTCCCTATGCAAGATATGCTAGTTCAATCAACACTAATGAGATTGCCATTCCACTGAGTTTTAGGATGTAATAAGCCAATGAGGAATCACTTCCAATTTCTTATATAACAGCCTCACAGAAAATGAACTTGTAATAGATGAGCTTGCTTCTGAAAAACAAGAGGTGAGCATGGGAAGAGAGTATAAAAGTTCTGAATGCTAGGTACAAACTGGACCACTGCCATCCCAGTGGGTGGCCTCCTAAGACTCCACACTACTGCCTTTTTTTCAGGAAAGAAAGGGCCTGGGCACCAGCCAACAGCATTGCATTGTAAGCCACACCCATTCAGGGAAGAATTTCTGAATGCAGAAGGATCCTCTGGTGTTGGAACTAGGAAGCTTTTGGGGAAGGAAGAGGATTCTGATGTAAATGCCACTTATTTCATCTACAACTACCAAGCTTTAAGCACCTGGGCCACTGAGTATTTATGGTAAACTGAATAATAGCCTTGAAAAGATGAGTACATTCTAATCCCCCAAATCTGTGAATATTACTTTCTATGGCAAAAAGGACTTTGCAGATGTGATCAACTTAATGACCTTGCAATGGAGAGAGTATCCTGCTTTATCCAGATGGGCCTTAGTCATCACAAGGGGACCAGAGGGAGACAGAGTCAGAAAGAGGGCGAAGTGATCCTGGAGGCAGAGGGAGCAGAGGTGATGTGATCCGGGCTATGAACTGAGTGAGAGACAAGGGCAGCCTTTAGAAACCGGACAAGGCGAGGAATAGATTCTCCCCCAGAGACTGTGAGGAGCCAGCCTTGTCCACACTTTGGCTTTTGCCTGGAAGACTCATTTCAGACTCCGGACCTCCAGAAGTGTAAGAGAATACATTTGTGTTGTTTTAAGCCACTAAGTTTGTGGTAATTTGTTACAGCGGCCACAGGAAACCTACTGTACTTGATTCAGTTAAAACTGCAGGTGGGTTAGAAGTTAAACAGGCAGCGGGCGCTTTTCTTAAACTAGTCCAGAATTAATTTTCCAACAGAAATGGCAAATTTAAAAATCATGACACAAACAGTGACCTCAGAGGACTTTTTAAGCCCCACTGTGGGGAAACTCACACACCTCTGCAGTGTCTGCAGGGGCTGGCCTCTTAGCACAGTAAGTGATACACAGCCCCTGGCAGGCCTTCCTACTCCACCTGCCAGTTTCAACAAAATTAAATTGTATTAACAGTCCCTAAAACTAACTCAGGCCTACTAATTGAGGATGTGACGAAAACCACATAAGGCTGT